ACAAGCCCTGACACACACACTCTCTCTCTGTTGTGTCATCTTGTGTCTCCCACCTGTCCACATCCTTTGTGGGTCCTTACCACTGCCCCCCAACACCCACCCGCGTGCACCCCTGCACTCCTACCCCTACTCATGCTGCAGAACAAGATCCAGGGCATGGTGTACGACTTCGTGACCAAGCAGGCGTTTGACATCACGATCATGATCCTTATCTGCCTCAACATGGTCACCATGATGGTGGAGACTGACGACCAGAGCCAGCTCAAGGTGGACATCCTGTACAACATCAATATGGTCTTCATCATCATCTTCACTGGGGAGTGTGTGCTCAAGATGCTCGCCCTGCGCCAGTACTACTTCACCGTTGGCTGGAACATCTTCGACTTTGTGGTTGTCATCCTGTCCATTGTGGGTGAGCGGGGCCAGGCTGGGTTGAGTCATTCAGGAAGACCGGGTGCTCCCGTTCTTGTGTACAGACACCTGCTCATGCACCTGGAAGGCTCACACGCACATTTACACTTACACATGTGCATATGCACCTGGCATTCACAAAGGCACACAGGGTGGGCTCACAGGCAGCCTGTCACCTGCACACACGCAAATACACATCTAGAAACAGTTACCTGACCAGTAGATGCACTCAGATGCCCACGTGCTAAGTGGAAGACGTAAGACGGTGCCAGTATCCGTACACACAGGAGAAGTGCACAGACGTGTGTGCAATGATGATAGCAGCTAGCTACCATTTATTGATCATTTACTGTTTGCCCGACACTGTGCTATCCCAGGAGGCAGGTACTGTTACCACCTCTGTTTTACAGATGAGGACACTGAATCACAAACAAGTTAAATGTCATGCCCAGAGTCACACAGAGAGCTGTCCTCCCTCTCTGTCTCATCTATGGCAACTGCACATACCCTTGGGAGTCAGCCGTACTCTCACCCCATCACCTTGGGCATATCCCACGCCTGTCCAGCAGGGTCAGGGCAGAGAGATAGCTCCTGGCCCCAGGACCCTGGAAGAGCCCAGCCTAATGGGTCAGGCCATTCGGGCTGTGCTTTTACTGCTCCCTTCTGAGGAAGAGCACAGCAGGCTAGGCCCCCTTGAGCCCTGCATGCCTCCCACTCTCTAACCCAGCCTCCTACCCCAAGGGCAGTGGTCCTCACCACTTCCTCCCTGCAGGACTCGCGCTCTCCGATCTGATCCAGAAATACTTCGTGTCACCCACACTGTTCCGAGTGATCCGCCTGGCACGGATTGGGCGTGTCCTGCGGCTGATCCGCGGGGCCAAGGGCATCCGGACTCTGCTCTTTGCCCTCATGATGTCCCTGCCTGCCCTCTTCAACATCGGCCTCCTCCTCTTCCTGGTCATGTTTATCTACTCCATCTTTGGCATGTCCAACTTTGCCTATGTCAAGAAGGAGTCAGGCATCGATGACATGTTCAACTTCGAGACCTTTGGCAACAGCATCATCTGCCTCTTCGAGATCACCACATCAGCTGGCTGGGATGGGCTCCTCAACCCCATCCTCAACAGTGGGCCCCCTGACTGTGACCCTACACTTGAAAACCCAGGCACCAGCGTCAAGGGTGACTGTGGCAACCCCTCCATTGGCATCTGCTTCTTCTGCAGCTACATCATCATCTCCTTCCTCATCGTGGTCAACATGTACATTGCCATCATCCTGGAGAACTTCAATGTGGCCACCGAGGAGAGCAGTGAGCCCCTTGGTGAGGATGACTTTGAGATGTTCTACGAAACGTGGGAGAAGTTTGACCCCGACGCCACGCAGTTCATTGCCTACAGCCGCCTCTCTGACTTTGTGGACACCCTCCAGGAGCCACTGAGAATTGCCAAGCCCAACAAGATCAAGCTCATCACGCTGGACCTGCCCATGGTGCCAGGGGACAAGATCCACTGCCTGGACATCCTCTTTGCCCTCACCAAGGAAGTCCTAGGGGACTCTGGGGAAATGGATGCCCTCAAGGAGACCATGGAGGAGAAGTTCATGGCAGCCAACCCCTCCAAGGTCTCCTATGAGCCCATCACCACCACCCTCAAAAGGAAGCATGAGGAGGTGTGTGCCATCAAGATCCAGAGGGCCTACCGCCGGCACCTGCTCCAGCGCACCGTGAAGCAGGCATCCTACATGTACCGCCACAGCCAGGATGGCAGTGGGGATGGGGGCCCCGAGAAGGAGGGCCTGATTGCCAACACCATGAGCAAGATGTATGGCCACGAGAGCGGGAACAGCAGCGTGCAGAGCGTGGGTGAGGAAAAGGGCCCAACAGGGGACTCTGGACCTGCCATAGGGCTCATGCCCATCAGCCCCTCCGACGCTGCCCTCCCTCCTTCCCCATCCCCAGGGCAGACAGTGCGCCCAGGGGTCAAAGAGTCTCTTGTCTAGGCCGCAGTGAGGTGGCCAGCTGAGCCTGGCACAGCCCCAAAGCTCCCTCGTGGTGCCTGCTCACTGAGGGAGCGGGTCTTTGAGTCTGCGACTGATAGGCTCTCTGTTGGGGACAGGATTTGGCCATGCTGGGGCTGACACCCAGGCCATGGAAAATGGGAATTGCACTCAGAGGCTCCACACTGGGCCTGAGGCCCCGGCTTCCATGATTTCTCGTTTCAAGTTGTCCTCACCTCCTCATGGGCCCTGCTGCCTCTCCTTATGGGGGAGGTCAGAATGCCCCAATCTCTGCCCCCGACGTGGGGGAGGAGCCAGCCTATGATGGAGGGGTTAGCTGCCCTCCTGCCACCAGAGTCTTAAGGGCTACAGGCCTCTCCCCAGGAAGTGGCTCAGGCCCCCCCAAGACCCCTCCTGGATAAAGGTATATTTTAAAGATTTTATTTTTAAGTAATCGCTACACCTCACATGGGGCTCGAACTCACAACTCCGAGATCAAGAGTCGCAGGCTCCGCTGACTGAGCCAGCCAGGCACCCCCTGGATAAAGATGTCTTAACCTCAGTGAGAGCTGACACCTGACCTCAGGGGCCTACCAGCCCGTCCCCCGACCGGCACACAGCTTCATCCCTCAAGCTCATGGATTCCCTGGAGAAGGGAAATGTCACTGGTCCAGAAATGTCTCCCCAGTCTGACTGGCCCCTGGATCCTGATGCGTCCGGCTGGGGTTGCGGCCCCTGAAACCATTTCCCGCTTTGTCCGTTGTGCAGGCCTCTGGCTCCCCTGGCTGGCCCCTAGGGGAAGAGCGGACAGAGGATTCCACTTGAGAATTGTTTTTTTTCTAGGAAGCATGGCTGGCTGGGACGGGTTGGGTGCGCCGCATCACTGCACTGGAGGCTTTCTTGGCCTGGACCTTGGGCGGGGCAGGGACCCTGGAGCTGAGGAGGTAGATTTCTGTTCCCTACCTCCCTTCCTCACTCCTCCGTTAGTGCCATGGGGCTCTTTGTAGCCTCCCCAAGCCCTGAGACCCCCTCATCCCCACCACATCTGTCTCGTTTCCTCCTCATCCTCCTTTCCCTGCTCCTCAAAGTGGTCCTTGCGCCCGTGTTAGAGAGTTCAACACTGGCACCTGCAAAGCTCGCCTGGCTCAGGCCCAACCTTCCAACTTCCCACTGCCTGGAAAGCCAGGCAGCATTTTTGTTGGCACCACTGGTCCGGGCGCGGCGGAGCCAGCCAGGTGGCTGCTGGCTCCCGGAGCTCAGAGGAGGCAGGGAGACCCCCTGTGCAGGCGTCACTGGATTTATTCACTTCTGTGTGTGCCTTGTGTCTGCCTCACGCCTGTGTGTACAGCTGTGTGTGTGCGTTCAAGTACGTGAAGTGCTATGTCCTGTCTCTGCAAGTGTGTACCGTGTCAGGTGCCCCTGTAAGAGTCTGACTGTGCGTGCATGTGTGTCTCCTGTGCAGGCCTGTCAGTATGGTGTGCTTGTACTGTATGTGGATGAGTGTGAACATGTGTGGGCAGGTTTGCACGTTGAGTCCCTATTGACCTTCAGTTCCTCTTCTCTTTCTTCTTGTTTCTTTTGAACAGTTTGGTTAAAACTCAGGAAACAGCAAAACCTCCAAAACAGTGTGTTTTGTGTGTATGTGTGTGTGTGTGTGTGTGCGTGTGTGTGTTGCCCGCGCCCGTGCACTCACAAGGTCCTGTGGCTATGGCCTTCCTTCTGTCTGCCCCGCTCGCTGGCCTCCTTGCTACCGGCTTCTCCCTTCTTCCTAATCTCTTTATCACACCCACTGCCCCAGCCCTGCTCCGTGTCCACTGCTCCGTGTCCATTGCCTGTGGAAGGAGCCCTCCCCCCCTTCCATCTTCCTGCTGTAGTTCCCTCTCTTCCCTCATAACGTGCGTCCTAGAGAGGGCAGCCTCCTCCCTGACCAGCACCCTGCCCCCGACCCCTCCCTCCTCAGGCCCCAAACGAGGGTGGCCCCGAGAGCCTCAGCATCCACTGGCCTGGACACTCGCCACTGGACTGCATCCAGATTGCAGAGCCTCCTCTGCCCGCGGCCCCCTCCCCTGCACGCCCACACCCACTGCCGCTCCGGGTGGGAACAGGCCCACGCCGGGCTGGCAGGCAGGCTCCTTTGTACAGTTCTTACAATAAACCTCCCCCTGGTGCCTCTCACGTGCAGGCTGCTTCCTTCTGCACCTCCGCGTGTGGACACCGACAGGGTCTGAGGGCTGGCGGGGATTGGAGCCAAATGAGGAAGACTCGGGGAGCCTCAGGGTGGGGAGAGGGCGAGAGAAGGTGATCTTTCTTGCCCCCCTCCAAAAGGAGGCTTGGACTCTGAAAATTAAGAAAGGGGAACCTCACTAAAATGGAGTCGGGAGGTTCAGCAGGGGAAGCGCTCAGGTTCCACCACTCATCATCAATTGAGAACCAAGAGGAAGAGATGACCTTGCAGGTGGTCGCCAATTTACCATCCCAGCGCCTGAGAAGAAAGGCTTTCCTCCTGCCCGGCAACAGCGCAGCCAATGAGAGACAGTCACAGCTCAGCCAATGAGAAGCCACCATGCTTCCAGCTCCCACGCCAACAGACTGTTTATCAAAGCCTTCCCAATGTCCCCCTTTCCTCCGTAAAGGAGCGGGTCCTCTCCTTTGTGGCCATGCCCACGGTTTTGCCTCCCTTGCATGGTTGGCATTGCAATTTTCTGCCACTCTGGAATCAACCTCTCTTTTGCTCCTGAAATACCTGGCAGTTTTATTTTGAAAGTTACAACTGCAACCTCTTAGCTGGAGTCCAAGAGGCCAGGTGAGATCATGGGACTTGCCCCTCCACCCCTAACAGACAGCTCCACACTCTCTCCCCCCACCCGTGATGGTGCCCAGGAAATGGCACTGGGACCCAGTGGTGCCAGTCCCTCCTTTCTGAGCCCTTCACTTCTCTGCACCCTGCCCCCCCAGAGGCCCTGAGATGCCTGAGGGAGGCATGGTGTGACCCCTCCCTCTCTTCAGAGACACTACCCCCGCCAAAGACCCTGCCTTTGAACCCTGACCTCAGAGAGCCCAGGGTCCTCTGGACCTGTGACAGTGAGTAGTATGATGTAGTGAGCTAAATCCACAATCCTGGTGGGTGAAATATAATTTTATATATAACTTTGTTTTCTACAACTTGATTTCTGACTCTCAGGGCTGTATTTGTTCAAACTAGTAAACAGTCCTTCACAAGATTCCTGCACCCCCTTTTGCTGGGCCCTGAGGTTTACATGGCATCACAGGCCCCCCTAACACCCCTCAGCCACCTTCTGAGGTCCCATCCCACCTTGCTGTTCTCTTTGCGGGGAGGGGTCCAGCATCCCTGCAGTGTTCTGAGCCCCCCACCAGGGTGCTGACCTCCCTCCCTGGGGTGGGAGTGGGCCTCCTCACTGTAAATTTCTGCAAACCGCGCCTGGGGCTCTCTCTGTCTCCAAGGACAGGAGAGCTTGCGCAGTGCCCTGGCCCACCCTCCCCTGAGCCTTGAATAGTGGAGGAAAAGAGGCAAAATACTGGATGAAAAACATAAGCTAACATTTCAGAATCATCCAGTTGGGAGAGCCAGTTATCAGGGCTACTCACCACCTTCCTGAGGGTAAGCTGTGCTCCCAGATTCCTCACCAAACACTCATATACTGGATTCCCTTCCATGCTTATGACTGCCCTGAAGTGGAGAACAGATTGTTAACGATTACTTCTGCTTTACACAAATGAGGGAACCATGAGGGGTTAAGCATGGGTGTTGCGTAACTGGGGTGCTGTTGGCACGTGGAGCAAGGAATCTGCTTTGTGAGACACCGTCCTCCCCACTGCAGGGAATTCAGCACCCCTGGTCCCTGAAGGCCAGTGGTGCCCATTGGTCATTGTGACCGCTGAAATGGTCCCAGTGCCTTTCCAAATGCTCCCTGGGGAGGGGGGGGAGGGGGAGGGGACAGGAGCGCTCCTTGTTGAGAAGCACCAGGAAACGTGGGGTGGCTTTCTACCTGGTACACTGCGGGGCCCAAAATCAAACCTCCTTAGCCAGCAGGCTTCCTCCACAAAACAGCCAGCCGAACAGAGCCAGGAAGGGTGGATTGAGGGGAGGGGCAGAAGTCTGAACCCCTCCTTCCAAACTGAGGTTGTGTCCTCTCCCACCCTTCCCGGGGTTGCTGGGGGCTCCCTGACGTCCTCAAACTCTTAAGCCCCTCATCCCCTCTCCGTGCACCCCATCTCCTGTCTTGATGCTGCCTTCCTGGAAAGGTGAGGTGGGGCTGCCAGATGTTGGGGTGTGCTGCCCAGGGAAGCCGGGGGCAGAGGCAGGAGTGGGCTTATAAGGCCTCCTGTTCCCGGAAAGAAAAGACGTCACAAGCCCCAGACAGAACTCTGTACTGTTGTCACCAGAGAGGGAACAGCACAGCCCCAACAGTGACAAATAACCCTGAAGGTGCAGGGGGGAGGGCAGGGATGGGGGAGTGCTCCTGAAAACGGATCCCTGCCCGGCATGAATGGGAATGAAGTCCAAAGGACACATCTGCATCCCTGCCCACGCAGAGACGTGGGTGAGTAGACGTGTTTGGAAGATGCCAACTGCCCCCAACCTCCGTTGCCCCTGTAGACACCCTGGGCCCCAGGACCAGCTCCTGAGCAGATGCCCGCACCACACAGCCCAGGCAACACACCCGTGTGAGCATACACCTGTGCGCGCACACAGGTGTGTGCCCTAAGCCTTCCCCCGTTAGCTTCCCAACTTTGGGGGGACACTAGCTCCAAAGCTAACCAAGGCCTCTATCACGAGGAGGTACTTTTACTAAATGAAGAGACCCCTGGATCTCCCCCCTCCCCTGCCATTCTTTTGGACAGTCTCCAACCACCCCCACCAGCACAAGGGGACTGTGGTCCCCATGCTGACCTCAGATGATGTTTATATTCCTGGGCTGTTTGTTCTGTGAACTGAACATCTGACACCTTTTCAGAGAAATGTTTTTTTTTTTCATTTGGAACATCTGGGAACAGCAAGAACATCTGGGCCTGCCAGGAACGAGCTGTTCCTCAGATGAAAACTTAACTCTCCTATTCCCATTTGCTGTAGCTCTGGTCCTGACTGGCACCCCTTGGGGGTAGCCCCTACTAGGGGCCTGTGCCCCCCAGGACTAAGGGGGCACCACCCAGACCCCTGCCTTTCTCATTGCCGTCTCTGGCACGGGCGGCAGGTCCACATCTCTCTAAACCCAAACGGACTCACCAGAAACACAGGCTGTTGAAAAATGGAAAGTGGGGAGAAGGAGATGCAGGCAGAGGGCACATAGAACTCAGCGTCTTTCTTCCTCTCCTGGGGGTGGGGAGCAGAGAAGGAGTGAGGGGACGGGAGAGAAAAAGGAGGAGACATAAAACTCAGACTGGACTCAGCTGCAGGGGCTGAGGTATGCAAGTCTGCTATGTGTGGCTGTGCAGGTTGTGCACTGCATGAGGACAGCCCTGGCCCCCAAGGGGCAAAAGTTGTGTATGGCCCAGGGATTGGGGCACAAAATTGAACTTCATTCCAGAACACTATGGTTCCGTCCACCACTCTACTGACTGGAAAGATAAAGCCAGAGAGCCTTTTAGTCAGAACCTGAAGGCTCCCCAGCACTAGCCTCCTGCCCCCCTCCCAAGACCCCGCGAGCCATGGACAAATCCCTGGTAGTCCCTTGATTAGCTGAGTGGTAGGTTTTCTCTAAGCCGTCTCTACCTACCTAAGTCCATCCCCTTTGTGAGAGCAAATTCTCTCACCAGGTGAGGGAGGGAGGCCTCTTGCCAGGGTCTGGGGTGGCTGCCACACCTGGCTCTTGCTCAAGAGTCTCTATGGCTCCCTTCCTCCACAGGCTCAAATCCACATCAACCCCCAGCATGGCTGCCTGCACTCCAGCCAAGAGCCTGCACTCGGGGCCTCTCCAGGTGCCGGGCCTGGCCCATAGCTGCCCCCCACACCCCTGCACCATCCTTCCTTGGTGCCTCTCTTCCTGCAGAGCACAGGCCGGTCTAGAGCCGAGGAGCCGTGCTCACACTCACCCACAGGACCCATGTGTACTCAGCTAAGTGCCTGGGAATCTGAACTGTGCAATATCAGGCCAGGGGACCCCAGAACATGACCATCAGCGGGGCAGGGACAAGGGCAGGGATGCACAAGCTACCCTCAGAAGACTGAGAGGCCCCTGCCTCCCAGGGTCCCCCCCCACCCCACCATGATGGACCCCAGCTGTGATGCCCTTTGAGCCTTAGCAGCACAGCTGACTAGAGAGCCCGCCCTCCCCCAGGGTCCCCGGAGAGCTGGTGCCTCCCCTGGGTCCCAATTTGCATGGCAGGAAGGGGCCTGGTGGGGAAGAGGCGGGGAGGGGACCGGCTGCAGCCCAGGCAGTTACACGTTTTCCCCCCAGGAGCCTCTGTCCTCGGCACCAGCTTGGGGTCAGAGACGGAGTGGTAACCATGGCCGGGCCGGTGCTATCTCCCGTGCCCAGCAACTGGCTGACGGTGTTGCTGCTGCTGCTGTCAGGTACGGCACCCCCGAAATGAGGCCTGTGGTTTCACTCTCTGTCATGGGCTGTTTGCTTGTTTCCACTGCTCTGTGTCCTCTCTCCGACCTCCCCCTTCTGTCTCTCACACTTTCGGCCTCTCGTCTCCCTCTGACTGCCCTGGGGCCTCGGTCTGTGGGTATCACCTATGCTGAGGGGCTCAGAGGGTATGTGGCCCCAGCTCCTCCTGTTTGGAGGGCATCAGGCCGAGCTGGGTATGAGGTGAGGGGTTGGTGTCTATGACATGGTTCACCACCCAGTCCCCTGAGGGCATTGTGTGGTGGTGACACAGGAGAGAGGCTACCCCCAGCCAGACCCTGGGACGTGCATGTTCCAGAAATGGTCCCCTGGCCTGAAAGACAGCACAGCCATCCAGCTCTGACTTCCCTCCTGGCCTCACCCAGCGTGCCTGCTCAAGGCTGTCGGTCAGGTCAAAGGCAGAAGGAGGAGGGAGAGGTGGATTTCTGGGGACCTCGCTTCATTCCAGTCTCTCCAGAGCGCTGCTAGGGTGGGCTGAGGGGTCTTGAAGCTGATGTCCTGAGAGGAGGAAGTGGGTCAAGGAATGCTGGGGGCCCCAGGGGTGGGGCAGCCACTTTCCAGTGGAGAGCCCTGACCCAGCCCCGCCTACTTCCTCCCACCCAGCAGGTGTGCAAGCAGCCAAAACAGAAGACCTGTACCGGGATCCCAAAGGTCAGCCACTTCCCCTGCCCCTTCTGGGGGCGAGTATGTCTGTCCAGTGCTGGTCACTGTCCCAGGGCCTGTGCTGTGTCTGCCCCTTGTGCCCTGCAGTTCCCCAGCCCGGACACCCATCTCTAGGATACCTTAGGGTCTCCATCTCAGAGGCCTGAGGGCCCCTCCAGCACCCCTCCTGCCAGCTGTCACCCTCATTAGACATAAGCGTTCCAGTCCCAGAGACTAAGGGGTGTGGCTAAACCCAGGCTGGAAGTGGGGAAGCCAGAAGGAATTCCACTGGGGACTCAGGCTGGGTCTGTCTAGTGGGGGAGTCAGACTCAGCCCGTGAAGGAGCCTCTAACTCTAGGGTCTCTGACAAGCCATAGGGCCTCAGGGGTTCCTAGGGGCCGCTTACGGGGAATGAGGCAGGGGGGAGGCTTCTTGGAGTCGGTATGTGGGGGAGAAAGAAGACTTAGGAATAAAAAAGAAGGGAGAGCACCAGGCCAGGTGGGGGGCTGTCCTACGGGCCCCTGGACCCCAGCAGGAAAGGCCTAGATCAGGCTGCTGTATAGGCATGGAAAGGAATTGGGAGGTTCCAGAGTCCTTCTAAAGGAAAATCAAATGTTGGGGCACGGGGGTCGGGGGTAGAGGTACAATCAGGAAGGGGTGGGCCCCGGTGGTTTGGCCTGTGGCTACTCCCATGGCTCGGCTCCTTCACACCTCTGCCTCATGACCGTACTATACCCAAAAGCAAGGACAGACAAGGGTAGGGGCCCGTGGTTGGGCTGGCAGTTAGGAAGCTGCAGAGCGGGATTTTGATCCTGGCCTTGGTGCCCACAGGAAGCTCTTGTTCCCGGATCTGGCAGAACCCACGTTTCATAGGCCGGAAAAGGGGCGCCATAGTGGAAATGAGGTGCTACGCAAAGGACTCGGGAATGGTGACCTGGCTCCGGAAGCGGGAGATGGACTTGGAGCCCAAGCCGCTGCTGGAAGACACCCGCATCCTCCAGAGCCAGAACGGCTCCATCGCCACGCTTACCATCCAAGGCATCCAGTTCCAGGACAATGGCATCTACTTCTGCCAGCAGAAGTGCCTGAAGATGTCCCTCAGCATCGGCTGTGGCACTGAGCTGCGAGTCATGGGTGTGTTTGGGGCTTGCCCTCCAGCCAGGGAGGGAGAAAGGGCACTGGGGCCGTGGAGCGTCATGGAGCCATCCTCACCCTGCCCTATCCCAGCCTGCCGCCAGCGGGGAGCCACACTGGGAAGGCGGCCGTGGCCATAGAACACCCGGGAGAGGTGCTGAGGAGGCCCTGAGGAGTGCAGGCCCAAAGAGGGAGCCCCAGCCTCACCACCCCCTGCCACCTCCCCGCAGGATTCAGCACCATAGCACAGTTGAAGAGGAGGAACACTCTGAAAGATGGTATCATCATGATCCAGACCCTGCTCATCATCCTCTTCATCATCGTGCCCATCTTCCTGCTGTTGGACAAGGTGACCATGGGGGCAGGGAGGTGGCCATGGGGCAGGCCAGACATGGGCAGGGTCTCCGTCTCCCCAGCCCCATAGCCTGCCCATTGACACCTATTCAATCTCTCCTTCATTCACTCCATTGTTCTGGCAGAGGGCACCTCACTCCCTCACCCCTCGCCCCTCACCCCCAGCCTCTCACCCCAGGCCAGTCTCCCCGGCCCTCCATACCCTGGCCCAGCAGTGGATGGGGTGGGCAAGCTAACACTCTGCTCTCCATCCCTCACCCCACCAGGATGACAGCAAGCCTGGAATGGATGAAGACCACACCTACGAGGTAAGGAACAGGTGGACCCCGCAGCGCTGAGGGCTGTGGGGTGGTTGGTGGCACCGTCCACTGGCGTGGTCAGAGAGTAGCCAAGGCCTGAGCACCATTCCATGTCTCCAGGGCCTGAACATTGACCAGACGGCCACCTATGAGGACATAGTGACTCTACGGACAGGAGAGGTGAAGTGGTCAGTGGGGGAGCACCCAGGCCAAGAGTGAGGGGCCGGCCCTCCCCATGCCTCTGGGCTCAGCCATCTGGGCCTTCGTGGACTGCTTCAGAGCCACCGCCAGCTCCCAGCTCATCTCTTCCCTGGACCTTGGTCAGCCTCCAAAGCTGGCCCACCGGATCTGCCCGCCCCTCCAGCCCCTGGTCTCCAGCTCTTACCAAAGAGACCAGAGTAGAAGGGGCACAGGGTTGTGACTTGGAGTGGGGAGTTCTCTGGGGAGAGACTGGACCCAGCCTTCTGGGGGTGCTATGTGGGGATCCACCCCACGTTCAGGACGAGGAAGACAGAGGCTTATCCAAAACCTGCAAATGGACTCAGAGCAGACCAGCTTCCTGCAGAGCCTGGGAGAGGTGGTGGCCCATCGCGCTTGGGCCCACAGATGGGCCATGGAGAGCCACCTGCCTCTCCCACTCTTTCCCCCCCTCTCCGCTCCAGGGGGCTCCTAGCCTTGATCCCATTCTCCTATGGAATAAACAGTGTGTCGAGAAACCCACACACAGGCTTGTGACATCTATGGGTGTGGGGTGGGTGAGAGTCTGTCTGGGCACAAATGTTTGGGCCCCCGTGGGCCCGTGGGGTGCAGGAGAGGATGACTGCCATAGGGCTTACGGACCTCTCCTGTGCTCACGGGCTTCTCTCTGAAGGCCTGGCTGGGATCTGTGGTCACACCTTCTGTCTTCCCCGAGCTGGGCCCAGACTGGAGAAAAGCTAACAGCCCTTCCTGAAGGGCATGCCCTCCTGCATTCTCTTTAGCCCATAAGCAGTGTGTGCTCTGTAGGGCAGGGGTCTCAGCCCTGGGGGAGCTTTCCCTCACCCACCCATGCCAATCCTGCTGCCCTTTAATGCCCTCCAACTACAAGAAGCCCTTCCAAATACCCCCAGGCCCTGCCCAAGCCCTGTTACTGCTTTCTGCTGCCCATGCTGGCCTTGTTCTCTAGATAAATTAATCCTACCAAGCGTGGAAATTTTGTTTTTAAGTTTGACCCAGAGCCACGCAAGAGAGAGATTCCTAAAGAGGGAGGCTTTGCGGGAGTCCTTCATCAGATGACTCCCTCAGCCTTTCCCAGCACCACATCAGAGGTTCCCTAGGGCCCCAAGCTCCCCACAAAATGATCCCTAGGGCCCTACGAATTAGGCCCCTGGCCTTCCAGCTGTAGGAGTGACTGGGAACAGCTCCCAGCTAGGAGCTTAGGTGCAGTTAACCTCTGTGTGCGAAGCCAGGCCTCGCTCCACTTCCTGTTGATCGTGGGGAGACCCTGAAACACCTCTTTGCCACTCATGTTCTGGCTTCAGGCCGTAGAAATCCCTGCCCCCATGGCACTGCCAGTTTAACTGGAGAACCAAGCCCAGCATGTGGGAACCAAGAAGGGCAGCCATCAATTTTTACCAGCCTCCCCCTGGAACTGAGCAGAGAGCTAAGGTACCTGCCCCTGCGGTTTCCAACAGTCAGTTTGTGCATTGCTCAGTGGTGCTCACTCAAAGCCATGCTGGACAGGCCAGGTAGGGCCGGCTCCCTCCCTGGTCTCTGGGCTGCCTGAGGAAACTGGTTTGTTTTGGCATCTGCCGCCACTGAGCCAGAGCCCTTCCTCTCCTGCTACTTTGCATAGGGGCGCTAATTCTGTCCTTCTACCTCCACGAGGGACCCTGGCAGCCGGGCTGGGGGTGGGAGGGAGTCTTCACTTCTCCCCCAAGCAGGGTCTCCCCCAGCCCGGGGCTGCCCTGAGTCTAGGGAGGCACTGGCTTTACCAAAAGACTAATAGTTCTGAATAACTGAGTTTCCCTAATGCTTGGCAGTACTGTTGGCAGAGAATTATTTGAGCCGCAAGCCCTGCCTCCTTCTCCAGACATCCCTAAAGCCCTCATGGTTATGATGAAGACCTCCCTGCTCTGTTTTTCTGTCTTAGGGGCTTATGCTATGGGTATCGTCACATCTATCTCATGGGTCCCTGGCCCTCAGAACTGACTGAGAAAGTGGAGGTGAAGCTGGATGATCCCAGTGGGGATGATAAAAATCCTGGGTCTCAGTTGCTTCATCTGTAGAATGGGAATCATCAAAACTTGTCTGAGGGAAGTAAGTTGAACCAGATGCTGTTTTTGTTTTCTTTTTTAACAAAACTATGCTATATAGTAAAATTGACTATGTTTTCTTTCAGGGTACAGTTTGATGAATTTTAGCACATGTGCAGATTTGTGTAACCCCACCACCATAATCAGGATACAGAACATGAACCAAAATCTTTTATTGAGTTCCCAAAATACATAATGAGCACCTCTAAAATGCCAATAAGACTATATTGAACACCTCCATATGCATGTATGTAATCTTGCCTAAGCCCCAGCATAAGCCTGGAAGGAGGCAGCATTATTCCCATTTGATAAATGAGCAAATCAAGGCCCAGGGAGATCACAATAGACCAAAATCACAGAGAGACTTTCTGACTCCAAACCCAGCATTCTTTCCGCTGTATCACAGCTGCCTCCGTCCAAGGACTTTGCAGCACTGAGACACTGAGGAGGAAGTAAAGAAGGAGGAGAGCCAGGAAAGAGGGATCCTGGGACAACTCTGGCCATCTTTAAATATTTCCCATTGTTCACAAGTCCCAACACCCTGAAGGATCCACTCCCTTCCCAGCCGGGCTGGAGATCACACTGTTGGGCCATCCTTCCAGGGGCCCAGCTCTGGGCAGCTCCTCCAGGCCTCCCCCTCCCCGGAATATAGCCCCGAGGTGCCCCGGTGGGCACATGCGCCACTGCCCACTGGGGGAATCCAGCCCGGTCCCTCGGGGCTCTGGTGTAAGCATAGGCTGGTTCCTTCTTCGCTCTAGCTTGACTTCCGGCCCCTTCGATGCAGGTGCTGCTAGGCCTGGGGTGCTCTGACTCAAGGGTTTGGGTGTTTTTCCAGCAGAATCAGAGATAAGAGAAAAACAAAACAAAATGTGAAAAGCTGCCACTGTTTGAGTGTCACTGGAAGGTAGTGTTTGTCCCTTAGCAGGTGTCTAGCGAAGGGCCTCAAAGGCTATCTTGGCACACGGGGCTTGGGGTTCCCCGATTCTGTCCTCTAGTGTTCTGCTCTTTAGATGACCCCAGTGGCTGGATTCAGAGCCCCGCCCTGTGGAATTTCCAGGTGTGACTGGCTCTCCACAGTGCTCCTTCCGAATCTGCTGGGGACTCAGCTGCCAACAAAAACAAAACAGCAACAGGGGCGCCTGGGTGGCTCAGTGGGTTAAGCGTCTGACTTCGGCTCAGGTCAAGATCTCATGGCTCGCTGGTTCAAGCCCTGCATCAGGCTTTGCACTGACAGCTCAGAGCCTGGAGCCTGCTTTAGATTCTGGGTCTCCCTCTCTCTCTGCCCCTCTCCCTCTTTGTACTCTGTCTGTCTGTCTGTCTCTCTCTCTCAAAAATAAACATTAAAAATTAAAGAAAAAAAAAAACAGCAACAAACCTTCTACTTGGGATACCTCAGCTGTTCTTCCAACTCCAAAGCCTTTACCTGGAAACGTAGGTGACTCCACAGAGAACAAAAATTGGCTCGCATTAAATCCAGAAAATAGAGTGCAGCTTGTTAAAAACACATTTGGAAGGATCCCCTAGTGCATTTCTCAAATTAAAAAAAAAAAAGACCTCTTTCTCTCCGACCTCATACCACTTTCTTGCATGGCAAAAGCAGGGGGTGGGGGGCGGTGGGGGGCGGTCCCGCTTAGGGCTGAGGCTCTGCAGGTCATGAGTCCGTGTAGAATATTTGTGTGTACTCGTGATCAGCATCTGCATACTGCCTTGTCTATTTTTTTTTCATTTAAATTTTTTCATGGATGTAGTGCCATGTGTTGCAAGATCTTGTACTTTTTATTTATATTTTTGGCACTTGTTATTTGAATTCATTCTATGAGAAGGACATTGAGATACAACATGCCTACCTTACCATTTCTGGGTGGGTGGGGGTTTCGGTTCTTTCCTTGACATTGTCTTGCATTTACATTCATTCAAATCCACCTGGCACATGCTTGTTGAGTTCCTGGGTCTGGGACTGTGCCCCCTCTCATTTCCCCCCTCTCCCTGGGCTATTTTCTTGCCTCTATGTCTTAGCTATTTCTTTCATGGCCGTTTTCACAAGATGAAATTTCCTTATATATTTTTACCATTACGTATTTACTTGTTTGCTATTGTGCACTGTAAGCTCCAGCCGAGAAAGGATTGTGTCTTTTATTCATCTGGGTATGCCCATCTGCCTGGTACAATATCTGGCATACAGAAAGAGCAACTACTTCTAGAACCAGTTAATGCATGAAGAAGAGTAGGAGTGAATGAATGAGTGGATGAAAAGCATGAATCCAGCCTCAAAGGGTTTGCAGTCCCATGAGGGAACTAAGATGCCCACAAATAAGCACAGAATAAGGTAAAAAGAATAGAGTGATTTCCAGTGAAGGGCACCAGTCAGAAAAGCACCCCAGACTTCCCACAGCTGCTGGACACAGCCGGGTACCTACCGCTTCTTTTTCAATGGGACTGTCTCCCTGGGGAATAGTCCCCAAAGTGGAAATGACTTAAGAGGTCCAGTTGTATAGGCTGTTATGCACTTCTAGATGGTTCAGAGATCCTCAACCAGTGTAAACAACTGGGCTACTTATCAACCCGCAGGAGTGTCTACCGCTATCTTACCCCCCACCCCCAAGCCCTCCAAGGCCCTTCCTCCATGCATGGGCCCTCTGGCAAACCCAAGGGTCCAATGAGATAAAGGAAGTGAAAACATGATGTACACTGAAACGTGCAATACACATGTGAAGGATGATGTGATTTGGTTCATTAAATCGGGCTACATTGGGTTGTTTTTTTCTGCCGCTTTTCTTGGTGTCTGTGGACCTCATTCTGGGGTGAAGTTCCTTCCGTTCAATTCCCCCCAGTTTCACTGATCATCTTCTGAATGGGGACTTGACCTTACTCTGCTAACTTTGTGCTGAGGAAAGTCTGTCCATGCCCAGAAGCCCCACTGTCTCTCCCTGCTGAGGGTTCCAAAGAGTTCCATGCGGTGAGAAGATGGGGGCCTTGGGCAGCTGTCACTTAAAGCCGAGAGACTGTGGGCAGACCACTCTGTCTCTTTGAGTCTGAGTGTGTCCTCATATGTAATGGGCCTTCCGCTCCAATCAGCCAGTACAGAGCCTGGCACATGGTGGACACTCAGAAATATTGATCCCTTCCCCTCCTCCCCTGACGAAGCCTTCAGGATGAATCCCCATATAGTATTCTCTAGGGACCTTGGCCCAATGCTGAATGATCGACACGGTGCTCAGACTCATGCTGGAAGCAAAGGGGAGGTGGCGTATGTCCAGGGGCCATCCCAGCCTCCGGCCTCAAGGAAGGCAGCACAGAGTTAGCGGTGGGAAATGTGGACCTCAAGTGACCAGAGTGGGGGAAATGGATAAAACGCCCACAGTCCCTCTGAGACTATCCCTACAGCCAGGGTAAGTAAGACCCCCCAAAAGTTGGCCTCACACCCCACGGATTGAACCTCAGAGGCGCTCCTGAAGCCTAAAAGAGGCCACTTTCAAATCAAGAGCAGAACAGGTATGGAAAACTCCAGATTTCAAATCTAGAAATAGGAAGGGCTTCCAAACACACTGAATTTTATAGATTCCGAGATAAGGGACAATTCATCTTGAGCCATTTTTGACTGACTCCAGAGATGTTAATCACAGCCTCTTCCTGACGGCCACCATGCAGAGGCAGTGGTGGGACAGTCTCTGAACCTGAAGAAGCCAGGGGATTCACCCCGTGGTGCCCCCAGGAAAGGGTGGGTGACTCCCCAGCCCTGGAGGGAAAATACTAAGTCTATCTCCATAGCCTTCAGTGCTTGCCTCTTGGGTTCAGAGACTGCCACCATGGCAAATCTTTCTGTAAAGGTGTATCCCCAGGGACTCCCAGAGTCCTATGAACCAACCTAGTTCTGGGGTCAAAGGAAGTGGGTTTGGTGAGAGGAGACACTCCCTGGATCTGGCTAGTCCCATCTGTTCTCAGCAGTACCCTGCCTATGGCGAGCCTCAGCTGCATCTCACCTGTGCCCACCTTATGTGGTTCTAAAGCAGTCCCCAACTTGGGCTCCTGTACCCTCACTCCTAGAGGAGGTCCGAGGCTTCACCTATGGTCCACAGTTCACATACAGGTCCCATTAGCTAGAAACTGGTCAAGAAAAGTTCCACATCAGTCCCCCTCCACAGGGTGGAAAGGGGGGGGGAGGCAGAAAGCTGTGTGGAGCTCAGAGAGCTTCCTCCATTTCCCTCCTGGCCCCTCCTCTTTGGTAGAGCTGCAAGGAAAAGATGAAAGACTTTCCCATGCTCCCTCTCTTCTTTAGGCCTGTATCTTTTTTTTTTTTGAGAGAGAGAGAGAGAGAATGAGTTGGGGATAGGCAAGGGGCGGGGGCAGAGGATCTGAAGCAAGCTCTGTGCTGACAGCAGAGAGCCCAATGTGGGGCTTGAACTCTAGAATCCTGAGATCATGACCTGAGCTGAAGTCGGACACTTAACGCTTAAAGGACTGAGCCACCCAGGTGCCCCAGGCCTATATCTTCAATAACAGCCCACTCTGATCTTCCCATTGTCCTGCCTGGAGAACAGCGCCATGGGTTCTAGTGCCTTCCTAGTAGATAATGAATCAGGGCATGGCTGGGCAATGGCTCCAGAACGATGGGAGAAAAGAAAGCTGTATCCTAAAAATGGGAGCCGGCAAGAAGTAAGCACATTCTGCGAGGGTGTGACTTTTCAATGTTGGTTGCCAGTACCATAACCAACGGCCTCTAGAAGGATTTCCTCATTCACTTGTTTATTTTCCCACAGGGCAAGTGCTAAATGTTCTTAGACTCAAGGAGTGGAAGGTTTAAAGGGAGGGTAATGTGTTCTTTCCCCGCTCTTAGCCCCTGGGGGCGATCTGATGCTGGTGACTCGTGGATGCTGCAATGACCCCAACCCTGGGCACCAGGAGGCTGGAGGGCAGCAGTCCTACCTAGCCCTCCCAGCCCTAGCCTCGCGCTTCCACTTGGTCTCCAACATGCACCCCGTGTCTCTGGGCCAGTCTCACCTGGGAAATGAGAGGCAACAATCTGCCTCTTAGGGAAAGGACAAAATGAGGCAGAGGGACCCTTGGGATTAGGGACAGGATCCCTGGGTTCAGAGGGGTTTAGAAGATTAAAATAACTGAGTGGCCTACCCAGTCTGCTCTGGAGAAAGGGTTTGGGATGATGCAACATGGGGAGAGCAAGGTTTTGGAGGTCAGCATTGGCTGAGGCAGCTTGTGCAAGAAAGCCTTGGTCAGCTCCTCTGTAAAATGGGGTGATAATGGTCATGAGGGTCAAACGTGACAATGCACAGGCATCTTGTTGCACCCTTATGAGTTCTATACGAATATTAAAAGAGAAGAAAGGGGCGCCTGGATGGCTCAGTCGGTTAAGCATCTGACTTTTTTTTTTTAATGTTTTATTTATTTCTAGGAGAGAGAGAGAGAGAGACAGCATGAGCAGGGGAGGGTCAGAGAGAGAGGGAGTCACAGACTCTGAAATAAGCTCCAGGCTCTGAGCTAGCAGTCAGCACAGAGCCCGACGCGGGGCTCAAACCCACAAACCACGAGATCATGACCCAAGAGAAAGTCGGACGCTTAACCGACTAAGCCACCCAGGCGCCCCTAAGCATCTGACTTTTGATTTCTGCTTGTCACGATCTCACGGTTCATGAGTTGGAGCCCCGCATCAGGCTGTGTGCTGACAGCATGGAGCCTGCTTGGGATTCTCGCTCTGCCTCTCTCTCTTTCTCAAAATAAGTAAATAAGCATTTAATTTTTTTTAAGTAGAAGAAAGACTGGAAAGAGATCATCTTTCGGGGTGCTGTGCCCAGATTTCCTGTGCTGGGAATAAGACCCAAGCCCACAAGGGCTCTTCTGATCTTTTTTTTTTTTTAATGTTTTATTTATTTCTGAGGTAGAGAGAGAGGCTGTGTGAACAGGGGAGGGTCAGAGAGAGAGGGAGACACAGAATCTGAAGCAGGCTCCAGGCTCTGAGCTAGCTGTCAGCACAGAGCCTGATGCAGGGCTCGAACCCACAAACCATGAGATCATGACCTGAGCTGAAGTTGGACGCTTAACCGACTGAGCCCCCCAGGCGCCCTGGGCCCTTCTGATCTTGAGACCCTCTGCCGGTGACTGGGCTGCGGGGGGGGGGGGGGGGGGGGGGGGGGGGGGAAGGGGGATTACTTGTGTCTGGCGTCTGGTCCTGGGACTTCTGCTTTTTGGTTGGCATCTCTGTCGCAGGTTCAAGGAGCAGGATGATGCCTCCAGTTTTGGTTCTCTGCCCCCGGCCACATGGGAGAGCCCCCACAGCAGAGAAACAGGATGGCGTGGGGCCACGGCCAGCACCAGCTGCTTTGGGCTGGACCAGGTGATCAGATGGTGGCGAAGGTGGGAATCTGGGACTGAATTGTGCCCCAAAACCTCAGAATCCATGGTGTCTCCCTTTCCCCAGACACCCATTCTGTCCGGTGGATGGAGAGGAGCCACGCAGGGAGGAAGAATAGGAATAGAGAATGAGGGAAGGTAGCACAGCCCTCACGGCACATCCAGTCTGACGTAGCCCCCTTTTGGGGACCGGGGTGGGTCCTCCTCACCTGAGTGGACAGTCCCACGATGGTACCCTGCCTTCAGGCTGCTCCCTTCGGATGTTCTCTCAAGCTGGGACCGTGTGTGCCCAACCCTCGGGGCTGGTGACAGCGGACAGGGGAAGATGGCAGGGAAAGCCTGGGGGACATGACCCCAAGAAGAGTGGGAACAGGACGAGGCTGTAAATTATCCATTAGCACAGGCAGGCCAGTGGCCTGATGCATAAATGTATAGAGAAAATAAGTGGGGGTGGAGGGGGAGAGAGAAGGGACCAGGGTATAAAAAGGGCCCGCAAGGGACTGATTCCAGGATCCCAGCACCCAGCTCCCTAAACCGCTCAGGGCCCTGTGAACAGCTCACCCCGGGCTATGATGGCTGCAGGTAAGTGCCCCTAAAATCCCTTTGGGTTCAGTGTGTACTGAGGGGCAAGTCGGTGGCCCTGCAGATGGATGGGGACACTGACCCTGGGCTTTGGGGCTGCTGAGTGTGAGCAGAGACACCTATGCCCAGACATTTGGCCACGTTTTAAATGTTCTCAGTCCCTGGGAGGAGGGGAAGGGTTGGCAGGAACGGAGGCCTCTTGCTGTCTGGGCCCCCGCCTCGCCCTCCGGGTCCCTCTCTGTTGTAGGCCCTCGGAACTCTGTGCTCCTGGCATTCGCCCTGCTCTGCCTGCCCTGGCCCCAGGAGGTGGGCGCCTTCCCAGCCATGCCCTTGTCCAGCCTGTTTGCCAATGCCGTGCTCCGGGCCCAGCACCTGCACCAACTGGCTGCGGACACCTACAAAGAGTTTGTAAGCTCCCCAGGAATGGGCGCTGGGGGTGGGGGGATGGGGGGGCAGGAAGGGGTGAATTTCGCCCCTGGGACATAATGGGAGGCAACTGAGGAGTTCAAGATTATTTCGTCCAAGTGAAGAGGCTGTCAGCTGAGCACAAACTGAGGGAGCTTCCGAATAAAGCAGGGATGAGGACCGTGCAGCTGACACCTGGGTGGGTGTTCTTTCTGCAGGAGCGCGCGTATATCCCGGAGGGACAGAGGTATTCCATCCAGAACGCGCAGGCTGCCTTCTGCTTCTCAGAGACCATCCCGGCCCCCACGGGCAAGGATGAGGCCCAGCAGAGATCCGTGAGTGGTCAGGGGCGCCCGGCCAAGGATCAGGGGCCTCCCTCCTTCTGAGAAGGTGGCCCCTTCTCTCTGCAAGAGTCAGGCCCTGGGCAGCCTTCTTCCTGGGACCAGGGGTGTGCAGGGAGGCAGGCGGGCGGCCCCCAGGCAGAGGCTGGAGTGCCCACCGGCCTCTCCATCTGCAGGACGTAGAGCTGCTCCGCTTCTCCCTGCTGCTCATCCAGTCGTGGCTCGGGCCCGTGCAATTCCTCAGCAGGGTCTTCACCAACAGCCTGGTGTTCGGCACCTCGGACCGAGTCTACGAGAAGCTCAAGGACCTGGAGGAAGGCATCCAAGCCCTGATGCGGGTGGGCACCGTGGCACTGTGGGTCCCCTCCCCGGGGCCTGGTGGCAGCCGCACTGACTTCCCTGAGGGGTAGAGGCTATCCTGGGCTAGGAGAGGCCGCTCCTTTCTTTGTAGTAAGCAGTCCAGCCCTGACCCCTGAGAAAGCTTACTCATTTCCCCGTGGAGAATCTTCCGTGTCCTTCTCTGAGGCCTGGAGGGGAGGGCCACACACAGAGGGATCGGGAAGGAGCAGCTGGCAAGGACTGGGCCTCTCTGTCCCTCCTCCCCTCCCCTTTTTGCAGGAGCTGGAAGATGGCAGCCCCCGGGCCGGGCAGATCCTGAAGCAAACCTACGACAAGTTTGACACTAACTTGCGCAGTGACGACGCGCTGCTCAAGAACTATGGGCTCCTGTCCTGCTTCAAGAAGGACCTGCACAAGGCTGAGACGTACCTGCGGGTCATGAAGTGTCGCCGCTTCGTGGAAAGCAGCTGTGCCTTCTAGTCGCTGGGCATCTCAGTTGCCCCCTTCCCCGTGCCCCCTCTCCTGACCCTGGAAAGTGCCACTCCAGCAACCACCATGCTGTCCTAATAAAATCAAGTTGCATCGTATCATCTGAGTAGGTGTCATTCTATTATGTGGGGACAAGGGCCAGGCTGGGAAGACAGCTGCATCCTGTGGGAGCCTCTACTGGGAACAATACCTGATCTGATTCCTCCCGGGCTAGAAAGAAACCAACACATTCATTCCTCTCCATCACATCGGGCCCCTGCCCAGGTCCAAGGTCCCAGCTCTCTGGGCAGTCATAGGTCAGGAGCATCCCCAAAGAGTACCCAGAGGCGTTCCTCTCTCCCCCACAGGCACCACAACACCACATCTAGCCCCCAAGAGCAGGGGGGAGGGATGGAAAACAAGACAGGCTATTAAGCACAGAGGCAAAACACCCCAACGTGGGAGAAAACATTGAGAGGAATCATAGAATCACTTTTGTGCGGAAGGTTGAAGGCGAATACACATTAGACCCACCTACTCTTGGGAAATAGGAACAGTGCAAAATGGCTTTGGGACAGACAGAACCAGACTGTTTGGGATGTGGATGGTGGCAAGGGAAGTGGAAGAAAGACTCTAAGTTGGGGTTGCAAATCCAATGCCAGCAGGTGCCAGGTAGACAGTTAGGAAAGTAACGAAGGCTGGATGTGAAGGGATAAATCATAACCAACACTCCACTTCCTTATCAGGGATACATCCCAGAGTTTGGGTACCGGGGAAGCCAAGGGAACTCAGGCCCCAGCTAAGGTGGGACATATCGAATCTTGTTGCCATTTCAGGACTGCGGGAAGGGCTACCAGACCTTCTGATTCTTCGAGGCAGACAGGACATCCAGACTTTTTCTTCTTAAAAAAAAAAGTTTGTTTATTTATTTATTTTGAGAGAAAGAGAGAGAGAGGACACAAGCCAGGGAGGGGTAGAGAGAGAGGGAAAGAGAGAATCCCAAGCAGGCTCCATGCTGTGAGCACAGAGCCTGATGCGGGGTTCAAACTCACAAACTGTGAGAACATGACCTGAGTGGAAATTAGCCTGCAGAGAAGTGTTACAGCTACAGAGGGTCGGGAGTGGAGTTGTCATAACAGCATTAGACTGCAGAGGGACTCACACTCTGCTCAGCTCCTTCCAGGTTTAGCTGAATCAACTTGACCACCGCTCGCTTGTTGAGAAACTCAAAGATGCTAGTTGATTGTGCAAAATTTTAGAATTTGAAAAGGCCTTAAAGACCATCTCCCCTAAATTTTTTGATTTTATTAATGTTATTCTGCGTTTCAGCTTTTTAATTAAGCAGTGGATGCCACCCTCCACTGCACATTAAAAATGCCTGAAGTGTTTTCTAAACAACTCTTGTAGTAGCCTCCACTTCCTATAATCCTTTTAAAAAATTTTTTTAATCTATCTATCTATCTATTTATTTTTGAGAGAGTGTGTGCGTGCACGTCGCAGGGCAGAAATAGAGGGGGACAGAGGATCCTAAAGGGTCTCTGTACTGAGAGCAGAGAGCCCGGATGCAGTGCTAGAACTAATGAACCGTGAGATCATGACCTGAGCCAAGTCCTACGCTTAAGTGACTGAGCCACCCAGGCGCCCCTACTCCCTGCAATTCTGATTTAATTTGTCTGGAAGGGATCCAGGAAGGAATGGTTTTTAAAGGTCCCCAGGTGAGTCTGATGTGCAAACGAAGTTGAGAACAACTGAGTTAGGAACCACAAACATGAGATATCCGTGTCCACCGGAGATAAAGACCTGGGTCAGTTGAGGCACTCTCTGTCTCTAATTCTAACTAGTCATGTAAAAATTTTCTGATAAGCAAGTAACAAAAAGGCAAGTACTGTATGATTTCTCTCTGTGAAGTACTTAAATTCATAAAGATCAGAAAGTGGAATGTTGGTTACCAGGGTAGGGGGAAGAGGGAATGGCGAGTTGTTGTTTAATGGGTGGAATGTCAGTTTTGCAAAATGAAGAGTCCTAGAAACACTATGGGGATATAGTCGAACTGTACCCTTAAAATGGTTAAGATGGTGGGGAGAGAGGGTACCTGGCTGGCTCAGTCGGTAAAGCATGCAACTCTTAGTCTCAGGATTGAGTTTGAGCCCCACATTGAATGTAGAGATTACTTAAATATAAAATGCTTTTTTAAAAGTGGTTAATATGGCAATTTTTATGTTATGTATAATTTACCCCAATTAAAAAATTTTTTTAAATTTCTAATGAAAACTCTTCCCAAAGGTAAGATTAATGAGATTTGCAGAAGAAACGTCCAGGAATAATGTTTTTCTGATTCCATGTAATCTTTTAAATTTACCCTAATCTAAAATGACCTAAATTTACTCTCACCTGAATTTCTTCTGTGAAAATTTAAAAAAGGAAACCTAGTTTAAAATGGGGTTGGACGGCCAGCAGGGGGAGCTCTAGGTCCTACCACTTGGCAATTGCAGACCCAACTGGAAGAGACCTTGTAAGGGTCCTTGTACTTTACTAACCAAGCAGTAGGAAGGTCTTTCCTCCTGCCCCGGCAACAGCCCAGCCAATGAGAAACAGTCACAGCTCAGCCAATGAGAAGCCACCATACTTCCAATTCCCACTTTACTCCAATAAATTTTTTGTTTATAGAAGCCTCCCCAGCTTCCTCCTTTTATGGCGAGTGAGATCTCTCCTTTAGTCTTCAGACTTACCTAAGGCTTTACTGCAGTGTGCTTGTTCTGAGTTGTGGTTCTCTGATGTTGCCATATAGACCCTTAAACATTTTTTCTTTTTAATGTTTTATTTATTTCTGAGAGAGAGAGAGAGCGTGAGCAGGGGAGGGTCAGAGAGAGAGAGAGAGAGACACGCAGGATCTGAAACAGGCTCCAGGCTCTGAGCTGGATGTCAGGAGAGTCCGACACGGGGCTCCAACCCACAAACCGTGAGATCATGACCTGAGCCAAAGTGGGACGCTTAACCGACTGAGCCACCCAGGTGCCCCTAAACCCATTTTTGCCAGTAAAATAAAAGGGATTTTATTTTTAAGATTAACGTTAGTCCAGAGAAGAGCCCCCAACAGCTCTGAGGCTGCAGAGCAAACAGATGGTGGCACCCACAGAGCCATTTGGGCTTGGCTGGTTTCTGGAGGACCATGGAGTTTGAGGGTAAGTTTTCTCCTGAATTTTGAGCTCTGCTGTCTTTGTGTTTGAGTTTTCCAGACTTTATTCAGGATATGTTTTAAGGCCTTAGTGTTTGCTTGGCCTTCAGCTTGACTCCTGTTTGGAACCAGACTGTTCCTGGTGCAGTTGTAGCTGTTAGAAGTGTATTGGCTTTGGGCTTGACAGAAACAGACTTCATACAGCAGAATCTGGGGGCCATGTCATTTGTTCCAACTGGATCAGCTACCATCCTCAGCTGATATTGGCAGAATCCACAGCGCACCTCTGGTCAAGATTCAAATAGATCCCTCAAAAATCCTTCCCAGAATTAATCAATACTGTATAAAGAAACCCTTTAGGGCGTCAAGGCCGTAATAGATTATAAGGCTTGGAGCCTCATTATCCCCTGTACTAGTCTCTGTAATACCAACATTTTACCAGTGAGAAAACCTGAGATGCAGGTTTATCCCGGACCTCTGAGCAGTAAATAACATTGTTATCTCTTGGCACCTGTTGTTCCCAAGCCCCATATGCTACTGAGGTCTAGTCTCACTGAAAGCTAATTTTTCACTGTAATTGATCTATGCAGTTCATTTTTACCATTCCTTTCATAAGGATAGCCAATACCCTTTTGCTATTATTTGGGAAGAATGGAAATGCAACCGGACAGTAAGCCACAGGGCTACAACACCAAGTCCTTCTTACTTTTCGTGAATCTTTAAAGGCTGATTTGGACGATAGAAAGTTTTCTGCCAGCTCTACTTTGTTACAATTTGTATATGATTTATGCCTCTGCTCTCTTTGTCAAGCTTCTTCACAGGAGACAGCATCCATCTGTTAGAACTTTTGGCTTTAAAGGGACATAAGGTCTCAAAAAAAAAAAAAAAAAAAAGCGATTAGCTTAAACTCAGTTGAGTACTTTAGGGCATCTAATCCTGAAACGAGACCTGGACAAAACCCCTCACAATTGCTTAACCCTGACAGATTACCTTTTGACACCCCTCCCCCCTCCCCCCATGGAAAGTTCCAGGAGTCTCTAACCATTGCAGGTTTTTCATGGTTTACTGATGGTTCTTATTTAAAAGATGAAAATGGTAACTAATGTGCTGGGTTTGGAATCATTGAAACAGCAGCTTTACCTTTGACTAATTCAGCCCAACAGGCTGAATTATACGCCCTTACTTAAGCATGTAACTTTGCTGATGATAAAACTGTTAGCATTTATACTGATAGTCGGTATGCTTTGAGTGTAGCTCATGATTTTGGAATATTGTGAAAACAGCAAGGTGTCTTTACCTCCAATGGGAATAAAATTAAAAATGGCTTCTATGTCCAAAATTTATTAGATGCCATTCTTTTGCTGGCTGCTCTGGCTATTATTAAGGGTCCTAGGCATTTGAGACTCAACTCCCTGGAGACCAGAGTAAACCACCTTGCTTATATTTCTCCTAAATACACTGCTCCCAAGGAAACAAAAAGCTAAACCTGTGTCATGTTCCAAAGCGATGTTCTCCCAAATGGTAACTTGGAAAAATTAACCAGAGATACCCGACAGTTGGTCTCAGAGATGGAAAAACAATATTGGAAATGTAATAATTGTTGGCTTGATAAAAAGAGAGACCTCCCGTTTGGACCAAATAACAATCCAGCCCTGTCAGAAATTCTAAATTTCCCACTACTTAGCACTGCACATGCATTAAACCATTGGTCTACTGACAAAATAATAGCATTCATGAACCAGTATTGGTGGGGAAAAATTAATAAGGGCGCAAAAAGTACCTACCTTCTTGTCCCACCTGTCTAAAGTATAATCCAGGGAAAACTGTACAGATGGATGTCATGCAGCTTCCTTTTCTCATGGATATAAATGTTTTAGTCATGGTTTGTATGTTTCTCACTGGTGCAAAGCGTTCTCTTGTAGACAGGCCAGTGCTGCTTCTGTGGCTAACATTCCGTTAGAAAAAATTTTCCCTACCTGGGAAAACCCTCTCAAATCTCATAGTGATCAGAACACCCACTTTGCCAGTCAAGTGCTTCAACAGATCTGTGCTGTTGGCTAATTTCCCAACACTCCATTGCACATTCATCCTCAGTCCTCAGGGTTAGTTGAACAGAATCATGGTACTATCAAGACCCAATTGGCCAAATTTGAAGAACTCCTTCAAATACTCTGGCTGAAAGCACTGTCATTAGTCTTAAATCTCAGATCTACCCTCTTTGGAACTCATAGACTCTCACCCTTTGAAGTAGTCACAGCACATCCAATATACTCCGCCCCTGCCTCCTCTGACCCACGGTGGACAAAAAGAGATATACTTCAATATTGTAAAGGCCTAACTGCTTCTGTTAAAATAACAGTTTTTTCATGGAACACTCCCAGGAGATGACAACCTTAAGCTTTATACCTTGCAACCTAGAGATTTCATCGATTGGAAAAGATACCTCCAGAAAGGCTCTCTTCAGCCTTGCTGGAAAGGCCTTTATCGGGAACTTCTAACCAACCCTTATGTCACCAAACTCTGGAGAATAGACTCTTGGATTCACATGACATAGCTAAAGAAAGCGCCAAACCCTGGCTAGACCTTCATGCCATCTGGTGTCCTGAAAGTAGAGATTTCCCGGAATTGAAGCAGATGATACCCGATGAGACCACTTTCCCAAGATGTCTGGGCAGGCCTGTCTACCTTTTCCTCACCATTGCTTCTTTTTTTAATGGAAAGACAATACCCTTGTCTGCATTCCTAAGCCCTTGCAAAAGGGGGAAACCTCTTTTGATTATGGCCTTTTGGAAACAGCCTCATCATGATCCCAGGACAAATTAATCTTACACTCGCTTTTTCTGAAGGATTAGAAGGCTCAGAATTCACAAAAGACTTCTTTTATCTGGACCATAGCTGACTTTAGATTCATATCCAAATTCATGGTCTCTGAACTTTATGGTCTTTGCAGACTTAGGAGGTTATTTGTCAATAACACATTTGGTTCAAACAGTTGTTTTGATACAACAAAACTGTTTTTAAACATCTTTGAAATTGTGTTGTTTTGCAGAAAGTTCATCAGCTGTTGCTTTATATATATAGCTGCACTGTATCTACCCAAGTGTACTTGGTTAATTCTCTCTGTGTGGGCCTGTGGTATCCACTGCTCTGCCTTCATTGTTGCTTTAAGCGGAGACTTCCAGGAGGCACACATGGTTCCTGGTTTGCCTTCATAGGGAGAAACTTTCTCCCCTAAGTTTGAGTAAGTACAAATAAATATTTCGGTTAGCTACTTTCAGACCTAGAGTCCTGGCTTAGATCCATCATACAATGTGGAATTGTTACGTTACTTTTTCTACTTTGTATAATTATTTTGAGTTTTGTATTTTGTTGTCTATCAGGCTTTTAAAAATGACATACCCAGTAAGGTGAGGCTGGCTCAGTGCTTGGAGATGATCTCCAATACCTAATTACAGTCTTGATAAATAGGGACTACGGATGGGACGTACCTGACAGTTCTCTGCCTCCTAATCTTCCTTGGTGCTCAAATGTGGTTTGAGTGGTTGGAAACTGCACACACGGGCACACTCTCTCTGTCTCTCTCTAAACAAATCAACATTTAAAAAAAAAAAAAAAGGAATTGGGAGGCTGGCAGGGGGGCTCTCACACACTACCACTTAGCAATTGCAGACCCAACAGGAGACAGACCTTGCACCTGAATACTGCTTTCCCAGCCCAGCAGGAGGAAGAAGGCTTTCCTCCTGCCCCAGCAACAGCCCAGCCAATGAAACAGTCACAGCTCAGCCAGTGAGAAGCCACTATACTTGCAACTCCCACTTTAATGGGTTTTTTGTTTATAACAGCCTTCCCGACTTCCCCCTTTTCCTCTGTAAAGAAGTAGGTCCTTTCCTTTGTTCTGCAGACTTGCGTCCAAGTTTTGCTACAGATCACTCGTCCTAGATTGCAATTCTCTGCTGTTCTCAAATAAACCCATTGTTTGCTGGTAAAAATAACCAGCAGTTTTCTTTTTTAACATTTCGGGGCGCCTGGGTGGCTTAGTCGGTTAAGCGTCCGACTTTCGCTTAGGTCATGATCTCGCGGTTCGTGGGTTCAAGCCCCGCGTCGGGCTCTGTGCTGACTGCCAGCTCAGAGCCTGGAGCCTGTTTCAGTCTGTGACTCCCTCTCTCTCTGACCCTCCCCTGCTCATGCTGTCTCTCTCTCTCTCTCTCCTAGAAATAAATAAAACATTAAAAGAAAAAATTTTAAAGGTTAACATTTCCATCAGCATTGCCAAAACACATATGTTGAGTTTTGATTCTTTATACACCTTTGAGAACAGAACTGACACTTTCCCCTTCACAAGTCTGCCTCAGAATTACAGGATCTGGCCTTCTGGGCCAAACAAACATGACCCTGTGTCTCGCACCTTCTTTGATTCAGGAGGCCCTAGCAAATGTGAGAAATACATTAAGAGGTATCAGTATTAGGGTCATCAACCTGTCCCTATCAGCATGAGACTTTCCTAATGTTAGTGTCTCAGAACACCTCAGCTCAATGCAAACTGGTACAATTGGTCATCCTGCTCGTAGTCCTGCATCCGAGGGAACAAAAAAGGAGGAAAGTAGAGAAAGGAAGAGGAAAATGAATAGAAGAGGAAGAAAGACCACAATGGAAAAGAGAAAGGAGGTGTCAGTGGTGTATGTGACTTGCGATGGCCCTCCATGGCTGACCTGGTTTTCTGACTCTTACTTTGAGTTTTACTATGATTATGGGTATGATTACCACCAGCACTGTTAGTATAATAAGAACTGATATTGTGAACATGTGTACAATACCATGCTAGTGTTTTTTTACAAGTACTGTGTCATTTCTTTCCAACTATAATCCTATGATAGGTAAACAGTATTATTTTCCCTATAGTAAGAAACCTGACTGAAGATTTAACTTGTCTTCTCTTGGGTCTATAAAGAAAGACACTAGAAAGTCATCTTGACTTTCCTAAGAGGATAAATTTTTGGAGTAATAAAGGTAGTTCTCTTCCCCTGAAGGTAATCAGGGTAGCTTCAGTTAAGTGTGAGCTGATTGCTCTGTTGTTCAGGAAAAGACTACATCCAAACCTTTTAGGGGGTGGGTCCCCCTGAAGACAAGGCAGCTACCCTTAGAAGAGTTGGCTTGGAGAGTCTCCCTGACCTCTGGTTGTGTGGATCCTTGGGGAAGAAAAGCGAGAGATCAGAGGTTTTAAGTCTTCAAAAGAAAAGGGTCTACTGAAATCTGAAGAGCCATCCTGGATGGCTAGTCCAAAGTAGTGAGCTCTGAACCCTGTTCGTGCATGTAATCACCCCAGGTCCTGAGGAAGCGAATCATCCTCATGGAAAGATCCATGGTAGAGGACGCTGGAACCTGGATCTGCAGAAGCAGCTGGTTTGGACTGTGTAGGACTGTCTGTCAACAGTGACACCATGTGGTAGTGAGAAGCAAAGGCAGGAGCCTCTAGGCTCTGCGTGGTGCCTCCACTGCCTCAAGGCATGGGGGCCTCGAAGTGGGGTTTGCACTGAGAGAACTGCAGACCTGATGCAGCTGATCTCAAGACACTGAAAAGGCTGGAGATTGCTGGATTAGGCTGCTCTATGATACTTCCTTATTTCCTTAAGTGCTCAATTCAGAAAAGTGAGTAAATTATATTACATGATGGTGGGGCGCCTGGGTGGCTCAGTCGGTTAAGCGTCCAGCTTTGGCTCAGGTCATGATTTCGTGGTTTGTGGGTCCGAGCCCCACATCGGGTTCTGTGCTGGCAGCTCAGAGCCTGGAGCCTGTTTCAGATTCTGTGTCCTCCTCTCTCTCTGCCCCTCCCCCGCTCATGTTGTCTCTCTCTGTCTCAAAAATAAATATAAACGATAAAAAATTTTAAAAATTATACTACATGATGAGAGAGCAATGGCTACTGTACTGAGTGGAAAATTTGAGGCTGAGGTCATTTGGAGGGGATGGGGGATGGGATGCTTTTTTGCAAAATCAAACAATCTTTTTTTAATGTTTTATTTATTTCTGAGAGAGAGAGAGAGAGACAGCGTGAGCAGGGGAGGATCAGAAAGAACGGGAGACACACAATCTGAAACAGGCTCCAGGCTCTGAGCTAGCTGTGAGCACAGAGCCTGACGTGGGGCTCGAACCCACAAACTGTGAGATCATGACCTGAGCTGAAGTTGGACGCTTAACCGACTGAGCCACCCAGGTGCCCCAAATCAAACAAAATATTTCCAGTCTCCTCCCAGGAGGCCTTCCTTGATTCTGAGTTAGGCATTCTTATAAAGACCTGTGTTTTCCCAGTTATGAGTTAAGGTGCAATTGTGATTTCCTGTTGCTCTGGCTTCCCTCAGTGACTGTAAGCTTGTAGAAGGCAGGGACACTGTTTCATCCACTGTTGTATTCCCACTGGCTTGTATGTGTTGAAATCAAAGCATTCTTTTTATAACTAAGCCCTAACCCAGACTCTGGGAAGGTCTGGAAAGAATGAATCTTTTTACTTTGATGCCTGATGCTGTGTTCCTCCTAGCTAGTGTCTACTATTTGGAAGGCTGTAGAACTTCTATCTTGAGGTCTGAACTTCAGTTTTAAGGGCAAGTCAAATGGGCTGCTGCCCTGAATCAACGCACCACCTGCCCTGAGCTAGTTGTTTGTGCTACTGACTTGACATTCTTTTCTTAGAAACTGTACTCAAAATGCAACCATGTGGTTTAATAAAAGTTTTCAAAAATGACACAGAAGAGAAATACTTTCAGATATTGTAAAATCACTTTTATTTATTTTTTTACCATATTCAACATTTCAGTGACCCATACATGACTGATTTGGGAGAAAAGATCTGGTTTTATCATTCTTCATGTCTTCTGTAGGGGTGAATATATTTTTTCCAAAGAACAGAGAAGGAAGCTGAATCATAAAATTATATGGTGAACATTGTCACAGGAGGAGTTGCCCTAAAGCTTAAAGGAAATAGTTTGCAGACATATGAAAATATATATTTTTTTACGGAAAGGGAGAATAAACATTGGAATTCTATCCTTAGAGCCTATATAGAGAAAAAAGTTAATATGTCAAATGTGAACTCATAGATGATTACTTTGTAATGGATTATGAAAACGAATTCAGAGATGTTTGGAGCCCTTAACCTACGAGGGCAAGTTAATGAAAGAACTCTAACTTCCACTTCTGGGGCTAGGTAAGCTGCTTGTGTGACTCAATGTGGAATTTATGACTTTTGCACTCCTCTAGTGAGTTGAAGCCAAACCAGCTACTGACCCTTAACGGTGTCATCAAACTCAGCCCTGGGAGCCAGCACTCCAGAACCTCCGGTTAGGGGCTCAGGGGAATGTGTAGGTAGGAATAAGGTTCTGATTCCTATCTCTGTTTGGTACTCCCTTTGAAGTCCTCTATGGACTAAAAAACTGGTTCCCACTTAGTCATGAGGAATCCGTGAGAAGTGAGTTGCATTTCTGAGATATTCCTATCTCTTCAGTCTAATGTTTGGGAGCAAAGGGCAGGATCTTTTTGGAGTCAGTGGACTGATTAAGCACACAGTAAGAAGCAAGAGGCCCTCTCATTAGCTGGACACCGAGACTAAAATTCCTAGTGACTAGAGTGAACTCAGAGGAGCTGAGTTTGTGGATGGACGGGATACAAGGGACATGGGGGTCTGAAACACCTGTTTTATGGGACAGAACGCAAAGGGTAATGTCTCTTCCTTTTTCCTCCCCTCCTTTCCTCCCTTAGGAAACCCCAGGAGTAGAGATTGCTTTCAAACAAATAGCTATTTCCATTTAACAATTATGTGCATTGCATTTTTCTTCTTGCTGAACAGCAAACTGGCTTTCCTCCTCTTCATTCTTCTCTTTCTGCTTATAGGGCAATTTCCGCCTCTCTATTTTGCAAGGCCGGTAGTTCAAATACAGTGCTATGGTGATTACACCGACTCCAAGAGCGACAATAATGATGACAAAGATGGTGGAGCTGATTCCTTCATCCAGTCCTGCCCAAGCACAGAAGACAGAAAACTGGGAGGGTCAAGAGGGCAAGAGAATCCCACCTTGCCCAGCTTACCTCGCCCACTTCTTAGTCTCACCCTTCCCCGCCCACTGACATTTTTTTTCTCTCCCTATTGGGGTAAGAATCCCAAACCCCTTGGGCATTTACATCCAGGGACTGGCAACAAGAGAGCCAAAGTCACCTTGAACGATGACAGCAATGTCTTTGCTGACAGAGCCCAGCTGATTAGTGGCTGTGCAGCAGTAGGTTCCTGTGTGGTTCTGGGTTGCCTTCTGTGGCACTTCAAGGTTGACTATCACTCCATTCCAGGTACAGACCAAGGCTGGAGTTGGGTTTCCCTTGGGGATGCAGGCAAGCAGCTCCTCTGTCCCTCTCACCCAAGTCTGGTTGCCAGGGCAATCGGATTCCTCTAACCGAGGCTTGTCTGGAAAAGAGAATCCCCCAAGGAGCTGAGCTCAGTGTGCCACATTCCTTCCTCACCAAGATACTTAGCTTCCTCTCCTCCCCTAAACCAAATGCTGTGTCCCTCCCACCTGACAGCTTTACTTCCCAAGGGAAGGACCACTGTTCCGTGCTTTGGGCCACTCTCCTGTCCGCCATTCTCTAGGCGCAAGGAGTCGGAGATGCAGCAAAGGCAGCTTAGTGGATTCAGACTAGAAGAGCTGGATGGTCCTATCAATGGTGGCTTCCCTGCTTCCCGTCTTGTCTTCTCCGTGAGTCAGGAGACGCGTAGGGGCAAATCCAGAGATGAGGGATTCTCTACTCTTCAAAAATACAGATTTTTATGTGGAAATTTCCCTCCTCAGCATAAACTCCAACTATCAGTTCTGTGTTCTCAGCCATCAACCCTCAGCTGATACCAGCTAATCACCCTGCATTCTCTTTTTTGTTCCCAGGGCCACCTCATGTTTCTTTCAGCTCACTTTCCTGGGGATAAGGTAAGCTTGGGAAACTTTAATTTTATTTCTCCTTTGATGTTTTATTTTAATGAGAAAAATGTAGCAAGTCTAATAATGAAGTTGCTGGCCAAGATCTCTGGAAATGAGAGACTAATAATAATCCTTGTTTTGACAAGAAAGATCAGGCCTCTACTCACATAAGACATGGAGCTGGACTGCAGTGGTTTTGCTCAACCGCTGACCCTGAACCTCCAAAGAGGCCTCACAAGAGAAATTTCGGCCATTATCTTCCTCCCTGGTGGTAAGTAAAAGCCAGGCAGGTTCCCCAGGGGCAGGGAGATCCGGGGCTCCCTGAAGCCGAAGAGTAGGGCTGGGTGATGTTAACACATGCCCTGAGCAGGTCACATTAATGTCTGTCCCTGCCAATGGGTATAATTCTTCTATCTCCAGGATTGGTGGAGGGAAGCCTGTAAGAAAAGGAAAGAGAGGATCAAACATATTTCTCAAAGTTCTTAGCCACTTCTGTATTCTTGCTGCTGATGGTATGGTATCTAGACAGTCAAAACAGGGAAAACTTTGGATACCCTGTTGCTTCTGTGCTGAATGGCATGAGCAATGATTTGGGAATTTGAGAGCTCCTCTTACGACAAATGCAGCCTCCACACACCATTTGGCTATGCCTCTGTGGCAAGGACATCAAGATGGCTTTTCATCTTATAGATTTCCTCCCCACCTCAAAAAGTTGTTCCCCGAAACAAGTTCAAGGAGCTACAATCACTCTGTAAGTAAGATAGCCAAAGGAAACAGGGTGAAACCCGAACAGAACTATTGTCTCCGTGCATGTCTTCAACCTGCCTCTACTCATCAGAGAAAGATCACATGAGAGTGTACCTAGGCAAGTTTAGTAGAGATAGTTGTAGTAGAACCACCAAGGATTCACTGTGGAAGTTTCAGTGGCGGAGAACCCTTGTGAGGAAGGGAAGAGGCAGCTCACTTACTATAAACATGCACTGGCTCTCTTGTTTTCTGTTCCATTGGACCCAGAGATACAAGGCAAGACAGCTCCTGATCACCAGTCTCCATGGCCCGAGCTGTGGCATTGGCCCATGCTGTGTCTCCCTTCCAGGAGACAAAGGGGCTCAGCTCCTGGTCTCCCAGGAACATGTGAAACATTACCTCTCTGGCAGGGAACACCTTAGCCAACTCACAGCTCACAGCTTCTGCCATTCCAATCTCCAAAAGTGGGGAGACCCAGATTTGGGGGCTCTGAGAGAATTCTGCCAAAAAATGAAGAAGAGGAAAGAAAGGAGAAACATGATAAATCATGTGCGATATAGGACCCCACAATTTAGGAAGGGAGTGTGGCTTAAAGCTCTCTGTCCCCTAGGGTAAGATTACAGCCCAAGTAAAGATGGGGCCCAATTACTCTCACACCCTCATCCTAAACTCTTGGGAACTTAGTCCCCAAAGGCCAAGGTGAGATAAGGAAACTAAGTCTCAGGATTCTTCTTATCTGGGCTCTGACTCACCAAAGATCCGGAGTACCTTGATGGCTGAGCTACTGTGAAAGAGCCCTCCGCCATGTGAACTCAAATCCAGTTCTGCATGGCATGAGAAATTGCACCTATCATTCTCCCTTTGGGCCTTGACATTGATGGTGACCTCCGCTCTTTGGGAGGCCACAGCCAAGTTCATAAAGTTCTTTCTGTGTAGTTCCTGGTTACCCTGGAGAAGGGTAAGGGTGAGGTTCTCCAGGGGTGCTACACTGGGCACATGGCACTTCACTGTAAAGGCTTCATCCATGGCCACCCATGCAGGCTGCAGCTCCAGGATCACCTGCTCTGGTGGCTCTTTGAGAGAAAAAAGTGGTCTTGATGAGAGAAGGCTACTTACCTCTCCAGAAAGAAATGGTATAGGACAGAAGGCTGGTGATACAAGGTTACCGTCACCCTTAAACCATTCAATCAGCCGTGTCAGCTTTCTGCCAACCCTGCCCTACATAAGATGAGTCAGTCTTCTGGCTCTTCTGCCCATCAAAGGTGGCTAAAGTCATGGCAAGAAATGTAACTGTTGAGGGGCAAGTCCCTTGCGTTGACTGTTGCTGCCATTCTGGAGAACTTTTACCTCTTACCAGAGGTGCTTCAGAGGCATGAGCAGCTTCTGAGAAGCTCCTTAGCATCACACAAAAACTACACCCTAGCTTACCAAGCTTTTACCCCAAAGAGATCCCATCTATTCCTATGGCCATATCCTTGCCAGTGCTATTTGCCCACCTGAAAGACCTTCCTCACCCATGCCCATCACTTCAAATCCTTACCATTCTGCAGGAGTGAAACTCAAGAGCCTCCTTTTCCATGGAGACTTCTCCAACTACCCCAGGTGACAAAGACCCTCCTTTCAACAATCTCTATTTATTCTCAGAATTTGTGCCAAATAATTTAGCACTAATTGTATACTTTTTTGATCATTCATAAGCTAGCATTATTAGTATATGCATCTTGTACTTGAACATATTCTCACTCACAATGTCTGGATGCCCTCTATGGTCTGCTCCTAATTTAAAATCCTACACCAAAGGTAAATAGAAGTAATTGGCTCTAGAATTCCTTTAGGATAACAGAAATCTCTATTAAGGGCCCAAATTCTCTCCCCTAAAAGAAACTTCTAATTTTTTCCTAAATAAGACATAGTCATACTCCCCCCACTCTTCCCTTCCTCCTCAGCCCTACTCACGATACACAGTGATGCCAAGGCTTGTGTCCTTTTGGATCCCTGCACAAGAGAAGAAGCACTGCAGAACAGAATTCTCTGTGACGTCCTCCAGAAGAAACTCCTTCCACTGAGGTCCTTTGTCCACCTGGGTTTTCTTTAAGAAAGTCTCAATTCCACTGGGTCCTGGGTCTGGACAGGTAGTGCTGCAGTTGACCATTAGTGACTGTCCAAGCTTTACAAGGGCCTGATCTGGCCAAATAGAAACCTCAAATATCTCTTCGGTCATTCCTGAAATGATCAACCACATATGCCACAGACTTTGGTGAGGACCACAATACCCAAATAAAATAAAAGGCCTAGTCTATCTATTTGTAGGTTAGAAATAGGAAACCTACCCTGAAGAAAAAGTTACAAGGAACTAGACAAGAAAAAGACCCTTAATGAACAAGTTAGAACGCTGATTCCACCACCATTCTCTTCACTCATCATCGTTCTAAGGATCTTGGTTTCTCCATTAGTGTCACCTTGGAAACTACAGAGTTGTTAAAATTCATGCCCAGGAAACCATTCTCTTCCTAAGCTTCCAGATGTCTTGGAAACTTCCAGGACTGGCTGATGAGGGTTCTCAAGGGGTTAGTAAGCCCTAGAGAAAAGAGCTTTGTTGCTTATGCCTCAAATCAGTGTTTCTCTGAAATTATGGTCTAAGGACTGCCTTCACCAGAATCATCTGGAGTGGTTGTAAAACTAGATTCTAGCTCCACCTCAGACTGAGTGATTAAGAACTTGTGAAGGTGGGATGTGGAAATATGCAAGTGAACAAAACAAGCACTCCTGATGACCCGTATGCACACCAAATTATGACACCCACTAGCCTAAAGGTAACTCCTAGGGTCATTCATTTCCCATGGAACTTCTCACCTCTTCTCAAAATGTGACTGCTCCTTTTTGCTTTGGTACTAAGGCAGCAGATGTTTTTGGATGCTTAAGAGTTTAGTCTGTTAGGGAAATCTCAGGTGCAATGAAAGAGACATCAGGTAAATTTTAGATGCCTTACACAGGTGAGAGGCAAAGTCTCCTGGAAGCTTTCCCACAGGTCCCCTTTAGCTACTCCATGCCCACCATCTGCTTCATCCACCAAACACCAGTCCCTTCTAGGAATACACAGCTCATGTAGCGGTGTTACCCACTAGGGCTCCAGTTCCTTTCTTGCCGTCCAGAGAACTCGTTCCTCACAATTAAGCTATGGGCTCTCTCCTATCAAGTGCAACTTCATGACACAAAAGGTGGCAACAAAGAAGTAAAAATATTCTTTAGAACAGAAAACTAGGGCAGTCTGGGCTAGCAGGGGGCCCAAGAGAGAAGGCATATTTCTTATGGCAGAGTTTTCTCTGATGGTCTGTTATCCTGTTCCTCAATTTGGGTTCCCCAATTATAAGCTAGAGACACCTACAGATTCTGTGTCGTAATGATCCAAAAATAGGAATCTCTCCCAAGGATCCAGACAAGTGACTAGTAAATTTTTGCCCCATTCAGTACTTCTTATGCTCTTACTGACTAGCACCTGCACCTTGGCACATACTGGCTAAAGAAACTGCCCCAAATAGCCTCACCTGGGCCAGGGTTCAAGGCCAGCAGGGCCCAGACACGAAACAGTAGCATTTCCATCCTTGTGAGAAGGCCTGAAAGCTGGAGAGAAAGGAAAAAACAATGCTGGAGAAAAGTGACCAAAGAAAAGAAAAATAATATAGAAAATTATTTCTTTGATACTGTTAAAGATCAATCCCCTTCCTAACACCTTGCATAGTCTGGAGAAATTATAGCAAGAGTAATAATGGTATGGTGTGGATGTACTAAAAGGACATAGGAAGGGGTGCTTGGGTGGTTCGGTCAGTTGAGCATCCAACTTCTAGTTTCAGCTCAGGTCATGATCTCACAGTTTATGGGTTCGAGTCCAATGTTGGGCTCTGTGCTAGTGATGCAGAGCCTGCTTGTGATTCTCTCCCCCTCTCTCTGCCCCTCCCCACTGTGCTGTCTCTGTCTCTCTCAAAATAAATAAGTAAAAACTTTAAAATGTATACAAAAAATAAGAGGACACAGGAAAATAATAGGGGATATTAGATTGAGATTCCTGTATAAGGTTGTATTGCAGTTATCTGTTTACATATTTGCCTCATGTACTTGAGTCAGTAGAAGGCTATTAACATGGAAACGTGAAAAACGAAGTTTAGAGAGATGAAATAAATGTTTATCTAGCACTGTCCAGCAGAAAGTGACCATGAATCTAGAAAACATGGTCACTAGAGTCCCATTCTCTGATGTAAGGGAGAAATGTTTCATCAGGGCTTTGTACATGATCTCTATGAAATATCCCTCAAGATAATCCATCTCTTTCTGATCTGCCTCCATGTTCACCAAGCAACCTTTGGATTATTATATTGGGCTGAGTTAAGTCTTGGTCCACTTCTCTTTTCTCCACCAATCCATACCAAGTTCTTTTTCTTTTAAAGCCCCATTCAAACTGCTTTATTCAAAGAAAGGTTTCTTGACTAACCCTGTCCCACTTCACAATCCCTCACTTACAACAGATTGTACCTCCCTTTATGCCAAATGTTATTTCTGAAGCTACATATGTTAAAATGCAATTCACTTTAATGAGTTATTTTTAATGATGAAATCATTACTATGCTAGAAATTCCCTGAGAACAAGAGACTATGTTTATCTTGCATCTACACCACCTAGCACAGTGCCTGGCATGTTATGGATATTCCATTAAGTAAATGACAACCCTCTAATTCTGTAGTATTTGAATTTTCAAACATTGGGTTTTATACAGGTGTACTTTTACTTATATGCTGCTCTGAAAGAGCATATAAGGTTTTTTGGTCTTTTTTATACATGCATAAGATAACAGACATATCAGAATTTATATTCCAAGTGAATGTTGCTCTTCAAATTCTTTGGGAGGCGATAAATTCATTCCAGTAATGACACCATTATTCAAAACTTTTTTTGGAAATGATTTAGAACTGGTTTTCAACCGACACCAAAAAAATCAGCCTATTATACTATTTTATTATTCTTTTAGAAAAGAATATGACTCAGACACCTTATTGACCAGACTTAACTCTGAATGCCTTAACATCTCTTTCCAAGGAAGATCTCCTATCATTGAAGATATTCCCATAGTACCCCAGACTTTGAAGGAATTTCAAAATAAGAGTTTTAAGTAATGACAGCTTTTTGAAAAAGTACAAAAGCCCTAAGGGGAATTGCTTATATGCATACATTATTTCAGCAAACAATTATTGAGCACCTACAATATTCCAGGATCTTAGTAAGGTCCTGAAGTTTACCAAGATTTGCATCATGACAACAGGAATTCCTGGAAGTTAGTGGGAAAGAAAACTGTAAAAAAAAATAACATTATTGACAAATGCTACTATAAAAACTGCAGGAGAGTAAAGTGAGAATTAAATGACTAATTTCAAGCCAACTGTTTAGCCCAACTCCTGGCACATAAGACTTCAGTAAGTTAGTGATGATGGTGATTGTGCCACTGGTGCTGATGCTGCTGATAATAATAAACTGATCAAGGAGCATTGAGGAGGGAATCATTACTTCTGTCTACAGGAGCTGAGGTTTCTCAGGTGTCCTTTGAACTGGGTTTTCTATTATGACTGAAAGTTTATTAAGAGGTGAGGTGATATGGAGAGGAGGTCAGGTCAGACCTATTTTAGAAAATTCAAGTTCAATATGGATAGAGGGTAGCTTACAGGGGAAAGAATTGTGGGATAAAGTAGGTATACAATTGGGTCAGCAAGCAGGAATTTAAAGGGCTTTTAAAGCAGGGGGCAGGGGGTGCACAGGGGTGAGATAATCAGCTTTATTTTTCAAGATGACAATGGCAGTGTGTGGAAAAAGAAAGATGAAGAAAAGACTGATGGCCACGAGATCTGTTAGAAGGTGACTGCAGTCAGGTGCCTTCTTAGCACAGCGGGCAGAGTGTCAGTGTCATAATCTGAAGGTCCAGAAGGTGACTGCAGTAATCTAAGGGAGATACAAGAGGGCTTGAAGGCACTGGTGACTGCAGAATTTCTATACAGAGGATATTCAGAGGGTCTCTGACTGGTTGGAAATGGGGGCTACAGGTTGTGTTTGCATACTAAACATACTTGTTTTACTTAAAAGTGTATGTTACAGATTAATAAAATAGCATGTTCTATTTTTTTCACATCTTACATAATATTTAGAAAATATCAATTATTCATATCTGCTATTATTTTTGAAAATGTCAAGGAAAGGGTAGAGGAAAATGGCATCCCCACTGTTGGAAGGGCATGCATGACATTCATTTAGCTATATAACTTTTTAAAAATATCACATTGGACATTGTAGACTCCCAATTTACTGTTGAATTCCTTGAGGTAAAAGTGTTCTCTTCCTAACATCCACTCCAAGCTAGGCACTTACTACTGATCTGTATCTTACTTCATTGACTCTCTCAATCACATTTTATCTAATAACTTCTAACATTTAGTAACTATATACAGTACTGTGTTCCAGGCACAACACTGACTGGTTTACTTTAGTTATCTCATAGCAATCTTATGATAATTGCCAGTTTTACAGATGAGGGGATGGAGACTAAAAGAGGTAAAGTAACCTAACCCAAATCACACAACTAATTAAGGGGTGCAGCCAGCATTCAAACCCAGGCATCTTTACTGCTGGGCACTTACTTACTACTTCACTGCTTTCTTTATATTCAGTGACTCTAGATTATCTGTGCTTTGATGGGGCCACCAGTCCACAAACAATCCTGTATAGAGGTTAATCCAAGAGCTCCTATATTATTCATCTCTCTTTAGCTTGCTGATGGTACCTTTCTCTAATCTTGCTGTGAATTAATCGTACATATTATATTCTCCTAGAGCCTTAGCTAAAAAAGGTTTCCCATCTTTGATCTCTATGCCAAGCCAGGTGGTTTTCCCTTGTGGTTGCCACTAGTACATGTCACATAGAGATAAGAAAAGGAGGGGGTGTGTGCGTGCTGATTCTTTTTGTTTTCATTCTCAGATACTGACAATACTTTGTTCTATGTTGTTTCAAGTGCCCTCTCCCCGCCCAACTATCCCCAAAGCTCTAAGAGTTCATCCTTGGGGGTGCCTGGATTGCTCAGTCGGTTAAGTGTGGGACTTCCGTTCGGGTCATGATCTCGGGGCTGGTCAGTTTGAGCCCCAGGTCAGTCTCTGTGCTGACAGCTCAGAGCCTGGAGCCTGCCTTGGGTTCTGTGTCTCCCTCTCTCCCTCCCTCTCTCTCTCTCTGCGCCTCCCCTGCTTGCATTCTCTCTTTCTCAAAAACAGATAAACATTAAAAAAAAAAAAGAGTTCATCCTTGGATTCACATGGCATGTTATGATCAGGTACTGAAACATGACGTTTTTTATTCACTATTTTAGGAAGAACGCAAGCAGCATCTCTAAGGGGTAAATGAAATTTTAAATCTTTTTTAATTCCTTTGGCTTACTTGCTCTGTAGTATTATATCCCAAATGAAAGGTTTCAAGTGTCTGAAATCCTAGGCCTCTAATCCAGCCACTAAGGGGTTGCAGGGAGAGCGCAGGCAGGTGAGGGGAGGGCCGCACACCCGGACAAGCCCTTGGGATGGCTTTGGCTGTAAGCCCACCTGGGCTTCCCGTCCAAGTCTGGGGCTCTCCCAAGGGGTCCTGCAGTTTCTCATACATCCGGGGGTCACACCCCACCCTCTGCATGGTCTTCCTCGAATTCCCTGGAATTCGCTTCCTGCTCTCGGTACACTCCCCCCAGGCGTGCGGACGTTCGCGATCCGGGGCCCAGCACGAGCACCCCCGTGTTCCCCGCGCTCAGTGCCCAGGCCTCAGCCGGCGACCCCTCACACTACTGCTTTCGGGACGCCGCACCTCCTGACACCTCGCTTCTCAGGCCGGTGGGTCCACACCCCCCACCCCCCGCCCCCCGGACTGTCCGTCCCCAGCCGGGCAGGGCCTCCACACCTCGACCAGACACCGCAGCTGCAGATACTCTTGGGCGGGCCTGAGTCCGGCGCTCGGACGCGGAGCGCGTCGCCCGTTCCCGCTCGGAAGGTGTCTCCCGTCTTGCGTGCACACAGCGTGGCTCTCACGCTCTCGGCCCAACAGACCCGGAGGGCTTTTAGGGGCAGACGGTATTGAAAACGCTAAAGGTATGTGAAAAAACCACTCCAGAGAGTGTCCCTCAGGGTTTCCGGCCCACTGCCACGTGACAAGGCAAAGCCCATCACACGAGGTCGGACTTCCGCAGGTTTGACGGAAAAGCCGGGAGGAGGCCCCGGCATGAACCTAAGCACACAAAGTAAGACCTAAATCCTCACTGAGGGTCGCTCCTCGCCGCTCCTGTCACTCCTCGGGTAGCCTCGCCTGCTCCGCGGCCTCGCCCGCGCGGTTCTCAGAAACCTACCACGCGCTCAGACCGTTTGGTAGGCAGAGCCAGGCGGGGGCGCGCGCGAGAGCGCCTGGCCGGAGGATTTCCTGATCTGCCTAGATACTCGTGACGTCCACCCGGAAGCTTAGCGAGGGTTGGCCGAGGCCAGTGGGGCGGGCCAGGAAGCTAAAATCACAGGAAGGGTTTGCGGGGAAAATGAAGGTAGAGAAGCCGGTGTCTCGCTTGGTAGAGAGCGCATGTTTGATCCAAGATGATAGCTACCAAGCAAAACGGAGTGAACACAGAAAGGGTTGTTGTAGCAAATGATGCCTCTGTAAGAAAAACAAAGGGTGGTCCACCCCTGTGCCTATTCGTTATGTGGTGCGGCCTGAACACGTGAGAAGTCGCGCGCGGGAGCCGGCTGCGTGCGCAGCCGCGTTCCCTCCTTGGGCCGCACCGTGTGGCGCTGGTGTCGGTTCCTCGGTTGCTCAAAAATCTATTTGGCATCGCTCTCGACTCTTCCTGAGTGGCCTGGGAGATGGGTTCCACGGGACTTTTTGCCAATACCCGAAAAGACCTTTTTGTGCACCCTCGTTTCTCCACATACAAGTAACACGCTTGAGTAAGCGAGCATTCCTTTCCTCACTTCCTACCAAACGTGCCTGGGCTCTTGCTCCCCCGCCCAGCAGCTATCAGTAGCCATAAAAAAGGGGTGAGTCCTCCGTTGTGTGCCTCCACCCCGGTCCCCTTTCCTCCACTTTCATGTCAAAAGTCTTCGGAGGGTCGTTTCTCAGAACACTTTTCCGGCCCCCAGATCGGGCCTTTCTCATGGGCATCCTGTTGTGTCCTTGTCTGACCGTGGCCGTGGCCTGAGCTCCTTGGTGCAGTGAAATTTGAGGATTTGGGAGTTTTCAGGGGACCAATTATCACGTGCGTTCCCTGTTACAAGTTAAATAGGATTTTAGATTGTGTGTTAGATTTTAGACTGTAACTCCTTTGAGGGAGGTGCTATTATTACCTGTATTTTATGGAAGAGGGTTTATTTCTTTTAGATTATGAGTGAACGACTCTTGTCCCAAGAAGAGCAGCTGCCTTTCTTGAACCCCAGTTGTAGCAATGCTTTGTCGTCTTCCATCCTGACAGTTTGAGGGAGAATGTCACGTGGAATAGGAGCTTTGGGGCCGAACAAACCCGTCTATGAATTCCTCTGCGATGTCTTACTAACTTTGGGACTATGGGAAAGTTACATAACTCCTAGTTCCTCTTCCGTTAAAAGGAATGATATTTAGTTTATGTATTTGAAAGTGCCTGCCATTGTTTTTGACATTATATCGGTTTTCCATAAATGGTAGTCCGTTTTCCTTTTGTGATCGCAGAAAGGCCTTCCCTGACGACTCCCCCTAAAACTACCAGGCTTTATTTGCAGCTAGTTGGTAAGACCTATCAGAGTAACCCCTTCAGGCTACCCTCATTTCTCTTTTATGGCTTCGAATGGTTTTGCTCACTTATGTTAACATATTCCTGCATAGTGATACCAAATCATCATAATCACCCCTTTCTAGAAACCAAAATCCCTGTTCGTAGTATGCTGAGCGGGAGTTTTTCAGCTGCTTGTTTTTAGGAGAGAGGCATTTGAACGTCGTTTTCTATTTTGTCATATGCTTACATTTTTATTGTCCTTTTCCCAATTCCTGAATGGTGTATCAACCTTAACGTTGATTTCTTCAGTTGAAATCTTAAATTTTAACATTTTATTTTTTTTTAATGTTTTATTTATTTCTAGGAGAGAGAGAGAGAGAGACAGCGTGAGCAGGGGAGGGCCAGAGAGAGGGAGTCACAGACTCTGAAACAGGCTCCAGGCTCTGAGCTGGCAGTCAGCACAGAGCCCGACGCGGGGCTCGAACCCACGAACCGCGAGATCATGACCTAAGCGAAAGTCGGACGCTTAATCGACTAAGCCACCCAGGCGCCCCAGTTTTAACATTTTAAAGGCTGTGAATATAATCCCATCTAATAAAAATAGCTGTATCATATAAAAAAAGGTTTGTAAAAAACTATGGCTATTTTATAAATTGGTCAGTGAATTGAATTTTGGCAAATGGGCTTGCTCCAGTTGACCCATTTCTTTATGTGGATGGTGCTTTCCTAGGGAAGTAGAGAAGCTGGTCCTTCAGATGGATAATTGCTTTGGCCCAGGTAGTTGGTCATGACTGTGGCAGTGGGTTATAGTAGTAGTGTGTTTGCACCTGACAAAAGAGGAGAAACTGCAGCTAGAGGGACATCCTCTTCTGAAGTGGCACCTTCCTTTTGACTGCTTTACTTGGTTTCTGGGCTCCCCAAATTTTCTACTTCCCTGATCCTTCAAGACTTTTTCTCCCTTGCTTGTTTTTTTTTTTTTTTTTTTTTTTATTCCTGGGGCTGTCAATTCCCAGCTCAGAGGCATCTTGTTTATAGAAGCTAAATGGTTAAGTAGGATCAGTATAGTCTTAACCAGAATTAGAAGAACAGATAAGTTAAGGGTTAAAATCAGGAGTAGTTAGTACTAAGTGAATCAGCCTTGACCAGCCCATCAGAGTCAAGGTGAGGATAAGATCTGAGCTAAGAGTAAATAAAGAAAATTCCAAGAATCCAGGTGGAAGGTCACTAATCAGTAAAGTCTAAGAAAATAAGAGCAAAAAGCTTGAGAAATTTTGGGAGCCAAAGTGAACTGTTAAGAGCTAAGCTGGTTTTAACCTTCTGCCCTGATGGGTTAACTCCTGATCAGGACTGACTTGGAACAGAGAGTTCTGGGGTGGGGAAGTGGAGGTAACTTTTATCAGAGCTACTTCCTGAGCAGGCATTGTTTCTGCACTGTCCTTGCCCTCTTAGAGTTCACACTGGAGTGGGGTGTGGATGGAGGCAGAGCCCTAAACAAAAGCCACAGCACAATATGATGAGTACTCTTAACAGAAATTTCGGCGAGTGTTATGGAAAACAAAACAACAAATTGATGATGGCAGTTAGAAGGTAGGGATAGAAAGTCACGGAAACTTCCAGAGGCAGTGACATTTGAGTTGGCCTTGAAGAATAAAGAGACACTTGCATAGCAGAGAACTGGGGAGAAACACTTATTGATTTAATCAATGCGAATTGAGTACTTAACTTTGTGCCAGGTATTGTTCTAGGTAGTGGGGACAGCAGCAAACAAAGCCCCAGCCTTGGAGGAGCTTACATTCCTAGTGACGTCATAGGCACAAGAATTACAGCGTGAAAGATCTTGGTGTGTTCAGGGAAGGGCAAGTTCAGTTGGGATGTTGGTGGAAAATAAAGCTCTGGAGGTAAGAGGAGGACAGATAAAAGCCAGTTATGCCATGCTGAAAAGTTTAGATTCTCCTGCAAGCCCTTGCCTTTTAAACTTTTTAGAGCTGTGCAAACCTTTCTGCCAAAGAATCTTGCAAGGTCACTCAATATATAAAACAAAGCTGAACTTGTTGAAGCGAGGAGAGGTAGGGGTGACACAAGAGAGGATCTCCCAGTGCTGCCTTCCCTTCTCACTCTCCGGTCGCCACAACAGCTCTAAGAAGCCCACTCCAGTGGGCTTAAAGCCTAAAGCTGATTGTAATGGAGGGCACACAGATAATGGGAAAATGGAGGGATGTGATCAGATTTGCTGCCTTGGGGTAAAATTGCCAGGAGGGATAGGGTGGGATGGTCTGTTAGCAGAGAAACTAGTTGGGTGGGTTATGGAAGAGATGCTGAGGACCTGACCTAGGTGGGTAGGATATATCCAAAAAAGATTTAGGAGGTAAAACCAACAGAACTTGATGACTGAAGGGGAGCAAGAAAGGGAGGAGTGAAAAGTGATTTCAAGAGAGCACAACGAAGGTCCTTAAGGCTTTCTCTATTCACCTCTTTGCTTTTGATGGCAGGTGTCCTGGACATCTGGTTGGGTCACCCCATCTTTGGCTTCCATCTGCCTACAAGACCAGTTTGAATGTCTTAGCAAGGTAGGACTAGCCCTTTGCCATGTCCTCATGCCCTGTTTCAGGATAGATACAGGGGGCGCCTGGGTGGCTCAGTCGGTTGGGCATCCGACTTTGGCTCAGGTCATGATCTCACAGTCTGTGGGTTCGAGCCCCGCATCGGGCTCTGTGCTGGTAGCTCAGAGCCTGGAGCCTGCTTCAGATTCTGTGTCTTCCTCTCTCTCTGCCCCTCCCCCTCTCACACTCTGTCTCTCTCCATCTCTCAAAAATAAATAAAACATTAAAAAAAAAAAGATAGATACAGGAGAGGAGACTGGGAAGGAGGACAATGAGACCTTGATTGGGACAGACGGGTTTACATGACCTATGGAGCATTTAGCAATGAATTGGAAATACTGATCTGAATCTCAGGAGAGAGGTGGTGATTGGAGTTAGATATTTAGGCTCATCAGAAAGTAGGCAGTAACTGATGGGATGGGAATAGATGAGTATGTCTGGGTAGGTCATGTATAGAGAAAAGAGCTAAGGATAGAACTGCAGAGGACCAGAGGGGAGGGAGGAGAAGTCAGAGATCCCAGTGAAGATCTTTGCCTTATCTTTCCTCTGTCTTACTGGTCTGTTTTCCAGTCATACCAGGAGCTATGGGTCCAAATTCAAGAGCCATAAGGTCACCTCTGAGAGGGTCTGGGAAGTGACTGGGAGACTGTGGGACTCAGACCACAGCACCACCCAGGTCTCTCAATACACCATAAACGTCTACCTTGCATGGGGACAGAACAAATGGTAGAATCATGCCCCAGGCCTTGGGTCCAGAGATTCCCAGAGTGTCACCTGGGTTGGAGACCTGAAATCACTTCTTGAATCCTGGTATCTACTCCCACTATTGGAAGACACTACTTTTGAGTTTTACCTGCCAAACTGTGTGGACTATGAAAATATGCATCTGTGACTTCATTGTGTGTGTGGAGGAGGAACTTTTGTACACTTGATGATCTGACAAAATCGATTCTGATTCTCTTCACCCTGTACTGTTTCACGCCTCTGAGCCTTATTCTGTTATTTTTGCCTGACTCATTCATAGGCTTTTTTACATAACATCCTCCAAGAAGTCCTCACTTAATCCCTTTCCTTCATTAAAGATTTCCCCATGGTACCTTATGAATACCTTTATCTTTGCAGTTGTCATGTGGAGAAACAATCTGTTTATGCATTTACCTTCTTTACTAGAAGATGTCAGTGACTGGCACAGAGAAGCTGCTCAATGAGTGTTTCTTAGATGGTGAACACAGCATCTGCTGCTTTGCCATCCAGTACTTCTGCTGCTCTGACTGCGCGGTGCCCCAGGCCTGCGTCACCACCACAAATGGAAAATGGATGCGTCAGCTGCTTGGGGTTCCATCTCAGACAGGCTCCTGGTACGTTCCCAGGAGTGCTGCCATTGTGGTAAGTATTTTCCACCATGACCTGACTATCCGCACTCCTTCTGAAATTCCAACCTGCTGTGGGCCGTCATACCAAGGAGTGATCTTTTGCTACCCTGCTGTCGCAGAAGGACTGGGCCACCTTGCTCCAAGGGCCTTTCTCCCATGAACTCTTTGGCAGCTATTTTGTCCACCAAACAGCTGGGTCAGGAAGCTGGGAATTGTCCCTCTGGTTCGGGTTTATTAAATACTTTTAAAATACTTAAAAAAGTTAAATAGTTTAGTTCCATTAAGTCTCTGAGTGTCTGTAGATGCAACAAGGTCAGAGGTTATAGGAAAGTCCCTCTTCTGAAACCATAAAATGTGTCAGAATGAAGTTCTGAAAAGTGGTCAGTGAGCAGAATAAGTATCAAGGGAAGAAGAGAGGAAGAGAAAAAAGGCATTCCAAGTGGAATAAAGGCGTGGGCACGCTGTCTCCGTGACTGCAAGTCCTATAATTGGCTACACTGTTAGGTAGGTCCTATGAGGGTGGCAGGAGGAATGGTCTCCCGCCACTCTTGATTCTTGAGCATTAACTTGGTACTCTCTTTCACAAGGTCTTGAATTGCCCCTAGTGATGTATCAAATCCCATTTGCCTTATTGGGTGACCATCAGTAGTATCTCCTTTAAACCAAATTCTTCAGGAAAACTAATTAATCAGGTCCTACCAATTAGCCTTTTTTCTGAGTCCCCATAGCACTTGCTCTTCAGTTTGAAAACTTTCTATGCGAGTAATAACAGACCAGAGGTAATAATAGAGAAATAACAGCTACAAACAAGAAGTCATAGATAGTAGTTAAGTGCCTGGATTTTGGATTCCAGAGCCAGATCAAAACCAGGTTTGAATCCTAGCATGATCACAGTGAAAGTAGGGGAAGTAACTGAATCTCTCTGCCTTGATTTCTAAAATAGAGGTAAAATGAATATTTACCTCATATGCATTATAAAGGTTAAAAGAAGTAATACATGTGGTAAGTACTTAACAAGTGTCAGCTAATCTCTGCTTAATGAATTGGAAATCTTTATCCTTACCATGACTTACATATCCTATTTCCCCCCCAACACCTTGAGGATATTTTATCATAGCAATTAACTCATTATTGATATTGTTTATCATTCTCTCTCACTACACTTAAAGATCATTCACTTGTTTAAGCACATATATTAATTAGGTTATGACAATGATTAAGAGTAACACAATATATACCCCAAATTATTGAAAACAGGTACTCAAATACATGTACATGCACATTCACAGCAGCATTACTTACAATAACTAAGAGATGAAGACAACCTAAATGTCTATCAATAGACAAATGGGTAAGCAAATTATGGCATATACATACAATGGAATATTATTCAGCCAGAAATAGAAATGAAGTACTGGTACATACCACAGCATGCACAAACCTTGAAAACATTATGCTAAATGAAAAAAGCCAGGCACAAAAGTCACATGTTATATTATTCCATTTATATGAATAATCAGAATAGGTAAATCCATAGAAACAATGCAGATTGGTGGGTACTAGGGGATAGGAGAAGAGGAGAATAAGCAACTGCTTAATGGGTATGGAATTTTTTTTTTTTTGGAGTGATCAAAATGTTTTAGAACTAGGTAGAGGTGTTGGTTGTACACCACTGTGAACATACTAAATGCCAATGAACTGTTTGCTTTCAAAGGGTTAATTTTACATTATGTGAATCTCACCTCAATAGCAAAACAAAACAAAAACAAACAAAAAAAAAAGAAAATGAGAAAAGAGAAAGAGTTTCCACCTTCAAAGAATTTGTATTTTGGTGAAGGAGCCAGTTCAGACAGTAAACTAGTTCACACATAAGCAAGCAATTACATATTGTGATAATTGCTTGGTAGGAAATAAAGTAAGGGGAGAGAGTGGAAAAGGTAACAAAGGACTGGAAGTAGAGAGGCTCTGGGGTTGGAAGGGGCTTAGCAGTTTGAAAAATTGCCCGGAGAACTTCTGGACTGACTCTTAGAAAGCCAAAGGCAGTAATTTAAAACGAGCCCAAGGAGGTAAGCAGGAGCAAGGCTTGCAGAACCTTACATGTCATGAGAAGGGAGTATGATATTTAACCTAAGAGCAATGGGGAGCTAGGGAGGGTTCAAGAGGACCTGAATTCAAGAGGACCTGAATTACACTGAACTGTTTCGTCTTTTTTTAAATTACAAAATTTTTATTGTTTAAGACTTTATTTTAGTTATTTATTTGAGAGAGAGAGAGAGAGACAGCAAGGAGGGGCAGAGAGAGGGGGGAAGAGAGAGAATCCCAAACAGGCTCTGCTGTCAGTGCAGAGCCTGACACAGGGCTCCATCCCACGAAACGTGAGATGATGACCCGAGCCGAAATCAAGAGTTGGACGCTTAACCAACTGAGCCACCCAGGTGCCCCAAAATTTTATTTGATTTTTTTACTTAAAGAATTTTTAGGGAGAGAGGGGCACCTAGGTGGGTTAGTCAAGTGTCCGACTTCAGCTCAGGTCATGATCTCACAGTTGGTGAGTTTGAGACCTGCATTGGGATCTCTGCTGTCAGCGCAGAGCCGGTTTCTGATCCTCTGACCCCTCCTCTCTCTTGCCCCTACCCGACTCATGCTCTCCTCACTCTCAAAAATAAATAAAACCATTAAAAACAATTTTTAGGGAGAGTGTGGGGGAGGAGGGAGGGGGTGGAGAGAGAGAGAAAATGAATCCCAAGCTGGCTCTATGCTCACAGAGGATGCCATGACCCTGGGATCATGACCCGAGCCAAAATCAGGAGTTGGGTGCTTGGCCCACTGAGCTACCCAGATGCCCCACCTCCCGATTTTATTTTTTAAGTTATCTTTACACCCAAGACAAGGCTCGAAATCACTACCCAAGATCAAGTCGCATGTTCTACCGACTAAGCCAGCCAGCTGGCCCTTATCTCTCTCTTTTTTTTTTAATATTTTTTATTTCTAGGAGAGAGAGAGAGACAGCATGAGCAGGGGAGGGTCAGAGAGAGAGGGAGATACAGACTCCGAAATAGGCTCCAGGCTCTGAGCTGGCAGTCAGCACAGACCCCGACGCGGGGCTCGAACCCACGNGAAATAGGCTCCAGGCTCTGAGCTGGCAGTCAGCACAGACCCCGACGCGGGGCTCGAACCCACGAACCGCAAGATCATGACCTAAGCGAAAGTCGGACGCTTAACCGACTAAGCCACCCAGGCGCCCCCCTTATTTCTTTTTTAAATGCACTTATTAGCTTGTCTGTTTTCTTTTTTTCATAAAAATTTTTAATGTTTTTTATTGATTTCTGAGAGAGAGAGAGAGAGAGAGAGACAGTATGAGCAGGGGAAGGTCAGAGAGAGAGGGAGATACAGAATCTGAAGCAGGCTCCAGGCTCTGAGCTAGCTGTCAGCACAGAGCCCAACGCGGGGCTCGAACCCGCTGAACCGTGAGATCATGACCTGACCCGAAGTTGGACGCTCAACCGACTGAGCCAACCAGGCGCTCCGTTAGCTTGTCTCTTTTCTAGTGTAAAGGTTCTCTACAAGGCAGCTTGTATCAGAATCATCTGGGAGGCTTATCCTATTATGTTTCTGTAAATTTACATTCCAGTATAATTAACATACAGTGTTCTATTAGTTTCAGGTGTATAATACTGGGAGGCTTATTTTTTTTTAATTTATTTATTTTGAGAGAGAGAGAGCATGCAAGTGCGCAAGGGAAAGGGGCAGAGAGAGAGGGAGAGAGAGAGAATCCCAAGCAGGCTCCATGCCCTTAGTGCAGAGCCCAATGCACGGCTCGAACTCATGACCCAAGATATAATGACCTGAGCCGAAGTCTGTTGCTTAACCGACTGAGCCACCCAGTCATCTCTGGGAGGCTTATTCTTAAAATATAATACTGGAAGCCATTGAATTGTGTCCGTGTGTTGTTTAGGGGGAGGAGCTAGAAGAGATAGTTTGGAAAAGCTCCCCAGGGGATTTGCCCCTACTACTCCCTCAAACTCCATGAACAAGCTTAAAAGCCTTGAAATGGGTACTAATTACATTATCATGAATTTTGTACCCACTTTACAGGGGTGGGGAGGGGCCCGACTCAATGACTGTAACAATTCCAGTGGTCTGTTCTGAGGATGGCAGTTAACCCACGTTAGGCAGAAAGAGGAGTGTGATCTCTGAGAAGACCAAGAGGCAGGAAAGCAACAGCAGAGCAGCGTTTGTCACTGGAGCAAAGATACGAGCAAGTCCAGGTGAGCAGAACTGATTTCTAAAAAGAGTGGAGGACTGTACTATAAACAGGATCTGGGGTGCTCTGGTGCAAGACTTGGTTGGGGATGAAAACAAAGCAGAGAATTTAAATAGTGAAAATCTATCTTGGCTACTCAAAATTGTTGTCTGAGTAGCAACAACATTGCTTTTGGAGCTTGTGAGAAATGCAGAAGCCTAAGTCCTGTCCCAGACCCCAAGCCTACTGAATCATAATCTGCATTTTTAACAAGAGCCCCAGATGTTTCTTTTGCTCATTAAAGCTTAAGAAGCACTAGTCTGTATCATGAGGAGAAAATCCCAGATGACCAGAAGGTAGGCTCTCTGACACGGCTGAAGCACTTTAACACTTTATGGTATAGGACAGTGGCTTCTGAAAAGGCATTGAGTTATTTTTCAATTAAGTACTATTAATCCCGGAGAAAAACCTTATTTAACTACAAGGAGAAGGGGGTTTCTCATAATGCAAAATTCCTCCCCCTAGAAACATTTCCTATGGAGTAAAGTACTAAGCTTCCTTAAAGTGAGGCAGAGCCACGTTAAAAATATGCAAAAAGAACTCGGGCGCTTGGCCAAGCCAACCCTTCACACAGCTGGATCGGGTCTGGGGCAGCTGATATCCCTTGGCAGCTCTGAGCCAGCAGGATGGGCTTTTTTTTTTTTTTCAATTTTTAAAAATGCTTTATTTCTGAGAGAGAGACAGAGAGCCAGCGAGCCAGCATGAGCAGAGAAAGCCAGAGAGAGAGGGAGATATAGAAACTTAAGCAGCCTCCAGGCTCTGAGCTAGCTGTCAGCACAGAGACCGACCCGGGGCCTCGAACCCACAAACCGTGAGATCACGCCCTGAGCCGAAGTCGGATGCTTAACGAACTGAGCCACCCAGAAGCCCCCAAGATGGGCTTTTAAACAAAGTCAAGTTGGAGGCTCTTCTGCCACAGAGAACAGCTCTATGTTGTCTTTAATGCTGAAAATGTAGAAAGACT